CTCTGTTGAAAGCACTCCGCTCCGCCGCCAGAGCATCAAAGCAGCTGTAGGCAGCTCGGGCGTGATTAGGTGTGTTCTGCTAAACTTTATTGGCATTCCTGGGCTTCCAGTCAGATGTGGACTCTAGGTCATAGCTTGTGGACCTCTGCTGCAGATCAGCAAGAATAACTAAGGCTAAGCACAGCGCACTCTGTATTCCATAAGAGAGTTAAAAAGCAAAGTAATATAACTCTCTGTTGTTTGTTTGTTTAAAATATACAAAAGGCTGGATTTGGTGACACACACCTGAAATCCCACTTGGAGACCTGAAGAGGGAAAATTTTTAGTTGGATGGGCTACATAACCAAGTGTTATTTCACAAAACCAAAACCCAACCCAAAACAAAAACACACAGGAGCAACAGAAAGCCAGCCAGACAGAGGTAAGCACTGAGTCGCGAGATCATTGAGACGACTGCCTACTTTCTTAGGTCATCTCTCTGTTAGTGCCTGGGTGCTGAACAATCCAAGACACAGGGGAGTCTGCCAGACACCCAGGCTCAACTCAGTTGGAAAGAAGACATCAATAACACCAAAGCAGACGATGAAAATCTTCTCTTGGGGCGGCGGGGGTGGGGGTGGGGGTGGGGGTGGGGGATGGGTGGGTGTTGTCTGGGGGAAGATGTTGACAAGCCTAATAGGTTTCAAAGGCAGTGTGTGTGCAGGTAGTCGAGGTCAGCACTGGTCTCCTTGTGCCATATTTTAAGCTCATAAATTGCCTTCACTGGGAGGTCTGTCCTGCATGGCTCACGCCGTCTACATGGTTTCTAACTAACCGCCCACATCAGATAGAAACTTGCGGAGAACTCTTAAATCACTTGCATGATCTGGCTGGTTCTTTCTGTCCTTGACTTGTTCTTGTTCCGTCTCCTGGAAGGTCCATGCTGTCTCCACACAGAAATAAAAGTTGTGTTGCAAATAAACAAGCTCTGCCTCCTTAGAGTCGCTTCAGATTGGAGGCAGCACCGTGTCTGAAATTCTAGCTTCGGAGATTAAGCGAGTCTCCCCTTAACGAAGGTAACCTCAAGACCCACGGGGTCAAAACAGTCTCACTGTTCCATGAAAGGACTTGGAGCTCATGACCTTACAGAGCTGGGAGATGGTCTTAGGCCGTTTGCCATTTGCTCCTTCTGTACAAGCCCAGATTCTGCTGGGACAGAAGGAAGCAACCAGAAGGGCACTGTTTGCTTGAGACAGGGACAAAGTGGGGGGTCTCAGTGTGAGAGAAGGAAAATCAAGAGGCTAGCTGATGGCGGAGGTATTCTTTGTCCACGGGAAAGTCTTGCCCAGGGCCAGCTCCAGCACTGGGCAGAGTCTGCCCTGTACACCGCACTCAGCAAATCCGGGCTTCCAATCCTTCTCTTGAAAAGCCCGAAACATCAGCCAACCAGAGTCGGTTTCCATGGAGAACTAATACACAAGGACCACTTAAGACAACTCTCACTGTATCTCTGATAGTAATGGAATCGAAGTCTTTCCACCGAATGGTGATTTTTTTTCCCCTCTCTCTATTCATCAGACCATTTTTTCTGCGACTGGGCAGTTTTTCCTTCTGTCCCTGTATTTGAACTTGCTGATTGCCTCAGACAGAGTTGGAATCCCACAGCTGTTGGCTGACAGGGACAGGGAGAGGCTCGCACCGTCCTTTCATTCACTTGTTGCAGAAATATTACGACGTGCCTGCTGTGTGCTGTCCAGTGCAAGCATGGGTTAAGCTTCTCTCTTCTCTACTCACCAGGTCTACCTCACCTCCCTCGAAGCCTTCCGAGATTAACATAGATAATCTAGTCATTGTTTTTCTGCTGTTTTTCTGAACAAAAAATGTCTGCATTTTTCTGAACCATGCATTGCCATGGTGTTCTCAAACAATTTGCGTAGAGCACAGTGGTTCTCAATCTTCCTAATGCTGCGACCCTTATACAGTTCACGTTGTGGGGACCCCCCCTACCATACAATTATTTTCGTTGCTACTTCATAACTGTAATTTTGCTAGCGTTGTGGACTGTAACGTAACTATCTGTGTTTTTCCGAGGGTCGTGGGCAGGGGTCATGACCCACAGTTTGAGAACCACTGGTATAGCAACTCTCTCTCTCTTGCCTGCGTCTCGGCTGCCCTCTTGTGATAACGGCTGCCTGGGCAACTTCAGAAACAGAAAATGGTCAAAGCTTTGTTGATAGCAGCTTTCTAGACAAGCTGTTCCTGATAGTCCCTGCCTGTGCACAGCTCGGGGTTCTGAAAGCCACCCCCACAGATGTCCACAGGGGAGCTGGAGTTTCAGTAAGCCAGTTTAAAACAAATAGCAGCATCAGTATAAACTGTGATTGCAAAGTCATTTAATTCAAGATTGTGTTGTCAACTTAAAGTCTTTAATGCCAAAATCCTTAGAAGGAAAAACGCCTTATTTAGGACAAAAACTCCAGGGAAGAGAGAAAGGTTGCTTTCAAATGTATAACAGTATGCCAAAAGTTGTACTGGTTTTTCAGACCTTGAGTAAATACAAAACAAAACATGCGTGCCCTCGTACATGCGCGCGCGCGCGCGCGCGCGCACACACACATTTGGTGGTTAAGGGCACTTGCTGGTCTTGCAGAGGACCTAGGTTCGGTTCTGAGCACCCACATGGAGTGGGTCACTACCACCTGTAAATCCAGCTCTAGGAAATTCAGTGTCCTCTTCTGACATCTACAATCACCAGGCTCAGATGTGGTGCACACACATACATACATGCAAGCAAGCTCGCACACACATACAAACTAAAAATAAGTACATCTTTAAAAATTACAATTTACATATTAAATAGTACAACAGTAGAATGATTTGATATCATTTTAAACAGAAAGGGGGGATTTTTCAGGTTACAAAATCCCTCCCCCCTAAAAAATTTTTAATCACTTTTTAAAAGTGGGTATGACAAATGTATTCAGTGACTAATTGTGTCTAAGTCCTGTTTCACTAATAACCAATGACATTAAATGTAATTGAATACAAATCAAATTTGCATTTGATACAAAACAGTGAGATAGCCACAGGACTATGGCGGCAACAGCAGGCCTCCTCATTACGACACCCTATCTAGTCTTGCTCTTCTAAAGAAGATTTTTTATTCTTTAAGGTTTAGGGACAGAAAATCACTAAAATCTGAGGGGAGAGAAGGGTTCCCCCACCCTGCTAGCTACCATTAAAGGACGCGGGAGAGATGCGGCAGAAAGAGGTGTTTGTTAAATAGTGGGAGGCATCTTACAAAGTGGCAGCTGGCTGTGATTTCCAGGACTCATGCCTATATATTTCCCCAAAGTTCACCGCCTTTCCTGCTACACGCTCAGAGGAGGAACGCTGGCCATCTACTCTCTGTGCACGAGGAATGGACTCCTTCCCCCTCAGAGAGGTTATACAGGTTAGTTTCAGGCCTAAATAGAAACTGCATTAATGATAGTGAGGATGATGATAATATGACGATGATGATGATGGTGGTGGTGGTGATGATGATGATGATGATGATGATATACTATGTAGAATAGGTATTCCAATAACTACAGAAAGGATGTATGGAAACAGCATCATAGAGATTACTATGACAAACGGGAACACCAGGCGGATCATGTGAGTCTAAAAGCAGAGACCAGAGACCAGGTTCCCTCAGTTGTAGGAGACAAAGTCTACCTTTCGCATTTATAGAATGAATCGGTGGTTTCTCTTTTAAAAGTACAACGGCAGCTGCAGCTTGAAGTGTGTTGCCTACCGCTCAAATGACCGTTCCATAGTTCATATAACCTCAGAAAACAACAGCAAAATGACATTAGTGTATCGAGCGCATGACAAACACGGCCCAGGTGCATGATGTTCAAACCTGGTCACCATGGCAGGCAGGACTCCAGGGGACCAAAGGCAAGACCAAAGGAACACAGGAACTCAGAGAGCTTAACTTGACTTTCTTGCCATTTCCGGCAAACCCCAAACCATAGAAGCTCCCTCACTGTGCGGATTCCTCTAGGCTGTGACCTAGAGTCTTTCCACACCTTCAACATGACCTGCCACTCAAGTGACATTTGTCAGGCTTTAATGCTTTTCAACCTTTAAATATCTCTTATTTGTCACACCTTTCACTAAACTAAAAAAAAATATCACTTTTTTGAGTGTGCTGCTGCATGCCTTGAGTGAGTTCAACCTGGACCCCCTCAGTGCACCTTCTGTGAAACATCTTGGAACGTGTCAGAACTCAGCCACATTTCCCTTCCTGAGGAAGTCTGAGCCACGCTAATGTTGACTCTCCCAACCATGCATCATAAAGGGGCAACAGAGGGCAAGGTCTTCCTAACATACTCAAAAGACCCACTGTTAGTAGAATATCCTCCCAATGAAATATGAACAAGCGCACCACCATCTTGGGTTTTAAGAGGAGAGAAAGCCTTTGTTAACAATGCTAGAGTCAGTTAATCCCACCAGGGAGAAGAGAAACTCAACCGAAAAACCAAACGATCATCCAGCTACATGTTTTTAAAGTGTGAATAAGCAGAAAGAGGGAGCAGGAAGTGGCTGTTCTTTGCTGTTTTAGGCTGATTTGAAATTAATTATACTAAATTATACATCTTAATTAAAATCTTACTTTTTTATTACACAATAGAGTCATTTTAGAGAGAGGACAAATCTGGCGTTTTTAAAACATAAAGGATTAGAAGGAATGAAGCCCCAATTCAAGACACAGATGGGTGATAATACAAGTGCTCTCTTGACTCATTAATAACCGAGCTATGGAAGATGGAATCCTGTATTTAAAAAGCCATTACCCGTATCACTGACTTTTACTATCAACGAAGCGAATAAAGCCCGTACTTCCAACTCAGGGGTTATCTGATAGCATTCTTCCAACGGCAAAGCCTAAGTGAACGCTGCAAGCCAGAGAGAGAGTGAAAGTGAGCAGACATTGTTCAGAAGCAGAAGCATGGCCGCCACTGAACTCTTACCTTCAAAGAACTGCTGTAGGGCTTCATTTTCGTCTAGCACATCCATACTGCTGTTTCCTCTTCAATCAAGGGCTGGCAGACCTCTGGAAGGAAGTGCTGTCCTTGGGGACTCAAAGCCTATGAATACACTCCTCAGGTAGCTCCATATTCTTTTCATGGATGTGAAGCATTTCTTCAGCCATCAACTAACTCATTGAGCCTGTAAAGATGGCTAAGTCCTCAAATGTGATTGATTGTAAGACAAAAGGGCGTGCGACCACACAGGGGAAAAAATCATGAAGAGGGAAGTAGGGACAAATCCATCCCTCTTAGTCCAGGAACTATTTCTACTTTGCCTCTGGTCTTTGTTTGAAGGACCTTTGTCCTTAGTGGCATATGTAATTACATAAATGGGCAATAAATGCCCAGCCTTATCTCTTATGTGTCCCGTACACACTGTTTCTATCTTCACCTTCATCAGGCAGATCCATTTGGCCACCAAGAAAAGATACAGTCATTTTCCTTAACCTCAGAAGGGGCACACATCAATATAATCATTTTCATAGGTGGCCAAAAAAGACTGGGTTATTTCAAAGGCTTGGTGAGAATAAAAAGAAGTCGTTCAATATTTTCAAATGTAGGGTGGAAAATTACATTCCTCAGAACACACTTAGTCTACGTCTTCAAAAATCTATATATTTTTGAAGGTATAGACCAAGTATGAAAGTCCCTCTATACTACACACACGGAGCATTATTTACTTGTCTCTTGGTTTCCTGTAGCAAGCTCAGCTTCACCCAAGTCAACTGAAAGATAAAATGGAAAATCAATGCAATCGTCCTGCTCAGTCGTTCAGGGTTTTGTGACGGAATGCACTCGCACATGACTGGGCTAGTCATAGGCTTCGCCTCCTCGCATGGCCCCCATAGTCCATGGGTGCTTCTCTTTGTTCCTCCCTTCATGCATGTTTTAATGACCACTGCGCATCTATCAACCTGCTGCCCGAGGCAGGAGCTAAAACACTGACCAACACTTGTGCAGATATCTGTTAATCCCCCAGCGCTCCCACACCCACAGCTGACCTCTCTCCTGCACCATATTACTACTTTGTGGTTTAAAAAAAATTTAGTTATGGGGTTGGGGAGATGGCTCAGTGGTTAAGAGCACTGAATGCTCTTCAAGAGGTCCTAAGTTCAATTCCCAGCAACCACACGGTGGCTCACAACCATCTAGAATGAGATCTGGCGCCCTCTTCTGGCCTGCAGGCATACATGCAAGCAGAACACTGTATATATAATAAATAAATCTTCACAAAAAATTTAGTTACACACACCCCTATACAGCTGACCTTTATGAGAAAAGGAGTATGCTATATGTAGTTTTCTGACTGTAGCTTTTTCATTCCATCTATGCTATTAAGTTACTACATTGCAAGGAGCCAGTACTTACACAATTTGGTACCATGCAACAATCCATTATGTGAACATATATCCCCCTATAGATATACCTTTGATGTTTTTTTCTAGAACATGCTTATGTATATATTCTGGGATATGTTGTGTAAGTATTTCTCTTAAGCACACACCTAAAAGTGGAATAGCTGCTAGCCATAGTTGCCCACACTTACAATCTAAGGGCTTGGGAGGCAGAGGCAGGAGGATTGTCATGAGTTCAAATCAGCCTGGGCTATACAGTAAGTCAGTTCCAGGCTAGCCTGAGCTACATAGTGAGACACTGTCTCAAAGAATGAAAGTGAGATTACTTGTTCACAGATATACAAATGCTCAACAGTTTCCATTCTCTTACCTTCAAAATTTATTGTCATGTATTAACTGTAAAAAATGGGTTTCATGATGACATTTCTGTGCATGTGTTTTATGTGCCCACTCTCTTCACAGGAGCCCCACCACCACCACCACACACACACACACACACACACACACACACACACACACACACACACACACTAGTCCCAAATGAATGGCTTTACACAATGGACATCTATCACCTGACACATGGGCAATACATGACTGATCGTATTGGTTGAAATCTTCAAAACTGGATTAGGCTTCTTCATTTTTGCCAGTTGGATCGATCTAAATATGTCACTGTGGTCTTGTTTCTCTGGTTGAGAATAAGAACTTTTTAAATGTTCATTGTCATTTATGTACTTCTAACTTCAGGGGAGAAAAATAACCCTTCGTCTTTCGCCCATTTTTCTGTTAGGTTGTCTGCTATGGGATGTTCTGTATGGCAAATATGTTGCTGATTAGTCAATAAATAAAACACTGATTGGCCATTGGCTAGGCAGGAAGTGTAGGCGGGACAAGGAAGAGAATAAAGCTGGCAAGTGGAAGGCTGAGTCAGAGAGACACTGCCAGCCGCCATGATGACAAACAGCATGTGAAGATGCCGGTAATCCACGAGCCATGTGGCAAGGTATAGATTAATGGAAATGGATTAATTTAAGCTGTAAGAAGATAGAGATTTGTCCTGACTGTGGGCCAGGCAGGAAAACTCTAGCTACAGTTGTCTGTCCTGCTGCTGTAGAACCCAGGGCCTTGTACATGCTCGACACGCACCCCATCACTCAGCTATATCCCTGTATTAGTTACTATAAAATACCATTACCAAAGGCAGTTTAAAGAGTCTATTTGGGCTTACGGTTGCAGAGGGGTAAGAGTCCATCCTGGCAGAGAGAACCATGGTGGGAGGAACAGGAAGCTGAGAGCTCACATCCTTTAACTATAAACACAGAGCAGAGAACAAACTTGGAATCTGAGGGAGGGGTGATATCCTTCAAAGCCCCCCTAGTGATGTACGTCCCTCCAGCAAAACCACACTTTCTAAACCTCCCTCAAACTTAAAATCCTCCTGCCTCAGTCTCCTGTATAATTATAGGCATGAACCACCAAACTGAATTCTATATAGAGTTCATGATGCTGACAAATGTCTTCCCATAGTCGGCAGCTGGGCTTTAATCATTTTGGTGGACCAAAGTTCTAAAGTAAGAATTTAAAACACAGCCGATTTTATTTTATACTTATCTTTTATGATTTCTCTCTGCCTCAAATTTAAATTCTTAAAGAAGAGATTCACATGTATTTTAAAATGTATTTTGCCTATATTTTGTACATCAGAAGCCCTAAAACTCAAGATACTTAAGTTGTATGTGTTGAGGAAGATTTGATTTCTTATTCCCCCTGCCCCCGTCTTTTTGGGTTGATCTCATTTCATGAACACTTCTACTATTCACCTATAGCATCAGTTCTCAACCTTCCAATTATGACCATTTTGGAATCACCTATCAGATATCCTACATATCAGACATTTACATTACAATTCATAACAGTAGCAAAATTACAGTTATGAAGTAACTAGGAAAATAATTCTATGGCCAGGGGGTCACCACAACATGAGGAACTGTATTAAAGGGGTCGCAGCGTTAGGATGGTGGAGAAGCATTGATCTACAGCATGCCTGCTGTGTCAATATCAAGTTTACGTACACAAATCTGCTATAGAGCTGTGGACTGGCTGGTCTGTCCATTTCTGCATATGCTAACACATTAATATCCAGCCTCATAAGTAGGGTTCAAAGACCTCCTTTCTTCTTTTCCATTGGTGCCTTGACTTTTTATTATCTTTTAGTCAGTCACATACATTCATAACCAATGAAGTCAAGCCCAGGAGGAATGCTACCTACCTATCACTTAGTAAGAACTGGTAGTTTTTGTTTTCCTAGCCATGAGCATTTAATCTGTCTTTAAGTTTTATTATCACCTTCTCTATACAAAACTAGCAAACATTTGAATTCTCAATTATATATTGATCCTTAATTTTAGTAAACTGCCCAATTAAGGTCTAATAATGTGATGGTGGGCTTTTAAATTGGGTTTTCTGTGAGTACAACCACATAAACTGCAAAACTTTTTTTAGTCTATCTCCTTTCCAATAATTAGACTGGTTTTTTTTTCCTTATCTTTCTGTGTGGTGGTAATATTTCTATTACTTTGTCAGATTTTTAAAATGAGGAAAATTATTATCCTTGTTTTGACTTTGAAGAATTTTAATTTTTATTTATGCTAAGTGTGTGACTGTGTGTGGGTAAACACACATGGATGCGGGTGCCCTCGGTGCCCACAGAGGCCGGAAGAGGGTATGAAACTCCCTAAAGCTAGAGTTATAGGCAAGTGTGAGGTGTGTGGTGATCTAGTGTGTACCCTAACAAAATTTGCCGGAAGATCAGAGGACATAAATAGCCACTAGGTTAAACACAGAGGCCAGGCAGTGGTGGCGCACACCTTTAATACTAGCACTCGGGAGGCAGGGATTTGTTTGGATCTCTGTGAGTTCAAAGCCACCCTGGACTACAAGAGATTGACTCAGTTTAGGAGAGAAACACAGAGCCAGGCAGTGGTGGCACACACCTTTAATCCCAGTGCTTGGGAAGCTCACAGGCTTTTAATGCCAGCACTAAGTAGGCTGAAGAAAGGTATAAAAGGTGTGAGGAGACAGGGACTAAAGCCTTTTCAGGCTGAGGAGTCCTGGAGGTAAGAGGTGGCTGTGGCTTGTTCCTTTGTCTCTCTGATCTTTCAGCATTTACCCCAATATCTGGTCTGGGGTTTTTTTATTATAAGGCCATTTTAGAAATTCGTGCAACAGAGGCACTCATTTTTTTTTTTTTTTGGAGAATTTTATATATTAGTATTTACAACCATTTCACCTCTATCCCTCCTCCCTCCAACTCTCCCACATCCCCATGTCTCCTCTCAAATTCATGGACTCCTCTTCTTTATTGTTGAATACACACACACACATATAGATATAAAAATACAACCTGCTGGGTCCATTTAACGTTGCTCTTATGTTCGGGGGCTGACTACTTCATACTGGATAACCATTTAGGGGGCTCATCCCTGGGGAAGATCGATTCTCCCACTCCCAGAAGTCATGGTCAGTAGTTCGTCGAGGGGCGGGGCCTTGTGAGTTTTCCTCCATTGTGGGTCTTTTTCTCTCCAGGTCTTGTCTTGTTGATTATTTTAAAGCTATTCCTCATGTTCTTCTCCCAAGAATAGTGATTACAGCATTTTCAGGCATCCTTATCATATCGAAATTACTCTCCCACTTAAAGATGACTCCGTTATTTTTAGCAGGTATCGATTTTATCAGGGTTGTTTTTTTTTTCTTTTGCATCTATTGATCAATTGGCTTTTTTACTTTCATTCTACAGCAAAGAGGTCAATTTTCTAAGATGCCACTTTGCTGCATTCTTGAGGTAAGATTTCATCTGGTCAGTGTGTTAGGTCCATGACTATATAAACCCATACCTTTCGTTCCTCACATTGATTCTATGAGGTGCTAGCAGCAATATGATATTAGTTTGGCTGTGGCTGGCATCTTATTATCTGAATAAATTTGGATATCAGAATAACCCATTGGTCTTGGTAAAATTATTTGTGCCTAAAACTTTGTGAGGAAAATCTTAACTATCTCCTTAATAAGAATAGTAAAGCTTATTTCTTGTTCGTCTACTTCTTCCTGGAACCTTGCTTGAATTTCCATGGTAACTGGCATGTCTGATGATGCCCGCTGCATCTGGTGTCTTCAGAACCTATAATGGCAACTGTTTCCATTCCCAACATTGGTTATCTGTGCAGTTTTCTCCATGATAAACTTGCCTAAAATTTTTCTCATTTTTTCAGTCAACTTTTGTTGTCCATGCGTTCTTGCTTGGGTGTTACAGATTTCCTTCTTTACTCCACTGGTCTTATTTCTGTAATTTTATTCCATCACTTTGCTCACTCTCAATCAGTGGCTTCATCCTTCCTAAAACTCTGTGACTCTGTAATACAGCTCATTTTGTGGTGACCCCCCCCAGCATAAATTTATTTTTGTTGCTACTTCCTGTAATTTTGCTACTGTTATGAATAATGTAAACATCTGTGCGTTCCCATGGTCTTGGGCAACCCCCATGAAAGGGTCATTCCATCCCCTATGGGGGTCACAACCCCCAGGCAGAGAACCACTGGTCTAAAAGGATTGGTATATGATTTCTTCTCAAGCCTAACTCTTTGTATCTTATGTTGTTCTTCAAGACTTAGAAATTAAACATTTTCTAACATTTCCATTAAAAAAAGAATAGGGTCTCAATAAGTCCATGCTGGCTTTGAACTTGCTATGTAGCTAAGGATGACTTTGAACTCTTTATCCTCCTGCCTAATGGGGGGAAGAGGGAGGATTCTAGGCATGGTCATGACATCTGGCTGTGCTTCATCCCCTCCTCCCTTTTTGTCTTTGTAGTTTGATGCAGTAGTCACTTCTATCTCCAATGCTCGCTTTTAACTTAAAGGTGAGATTAAATTCAATGACGAACGTGATCAGAATATGCTCCTAAATATTTCCCCTGAAGTGTTAAATCAAACCCTCTCGGGATAGCCAAGGTGGCCACGAGGCCACACCTCTCTGGAGATGGGGATAGTTCGTTTGCCTGCAGGTCACTCCCCGGGTCAGCAGAATTGTAATCCGTATGGTCCTCACACCACTCCTCCAGCGCCCGTTCACCATCCTCCACATCATGTTCAGCCTCTCCCAAGAACTGGATACTGGCTGTATCAGGATTGTTTCACATAACTTTTCCCATGTGCTTTTCCTCCGTGCTTCTCCTCTTTCACCCATTTTTTTTTTTTCAGTTTCTCAGAGTTCTGTGCCAAAGCTGACCTTCCAATCTTAGAAAGCCTCAACTGTACCAGCTTATTTGGTCATTTTCACTTTCCTTACACAGCTGCTACCAAAGACCATCATCCCATCAAGACTGTCCTCCAAGATAAGCAAGTTTGACGTGTCTAAGATATCGGCATCTTCTAGATTTCCTGGAGAACATTCCACAAGGAGCTTCCTCCTGGGCATTTCACTGGATGTGAACAGTTTGCTCATCCCCAAGATGGCAGTTCCGGTGAAGCAGGGTGGCTTTCCTGCTAATACATGTGAAGAGTGAACAAGGCCGCTTCCAGCTGCAGGGATGCCTCCCAGGCTGGTGAACAAAGCCTATGCATCCCTCCTTGTCTGGGAAGTACAGGTGCCTGTCAAGGTTAGGAGCAGCTCTCCAGCGTCTTAGGACTTTGTCCAATGAAGTGCCGGAGAATGCTGTAGGAGCAAAGTCCAGTTATAGTTTGGAAGACTAGCTGTCTGGAGGGTTGGATCACTGTACATTCGGTATCAGGTAGAGCCTCAGTCCTCTTGGTGCATCCCTTAAGAGCCTCCCTCACAGTGCAGCTGTCTGGCCGTTGAGAGGACCAGAGCTGTACAAGGTAAGCATCTGCCTGGGCAGGAGTCGGGAAAGATGATGCCAGAGTCTTGTTGAGCTGTTCATCACTGTCATCCATCACCATGGTCCTGCCTGCCACCCGTGGGTCATTCCCACACCCAGGGATGCTGGAGTGGAGACGGTGCAGGAGCAGAGTTACAAGGTGTTAGTACTTGTTATCTTAGTATCTATTTGGGCTACTAATCAGATACACACATGTAATTTCACTAAATACATTTGGTATAAACACTTACACTTCACATAAACACTATCATTTTCTTCATTTCCCCCATTCTGCTACTCCAGCCTCTGCCCTATGCTTTGTGAGTACGTATCATACATTTGAATCCAATTTGACTCTTTTCACACAATAAACTGCTGAGTTTATCGTCTTCTAGCATCTTATTTTTATTTCCGTGTCATGTGCTTTTCTACTTGGTCATTTTTATTCCTGTTGCCCTGCTGACACTGCTACCTTTAGCAGGTAAGAAATCTAATGAAACTCTACAATTCCTGGTCTGTGCCCACTGCCGATGCTGGAAAGTGTTCGTTCAGGATAGTCAGAGACCTGCTGTTCCTTGTCTTCCTGTAGTTTTCTCATTTACGCTATCAACGAGCTTTGCCCAAATATCTGGTTCATTGGGATTTGTTTTGTGGTGCTAGGGATGGAAGCCAGGGCTCTGTGCATGGTGGGCAGGTACTCTACCAGGGAGCTACACATGGAAGCCCCACTTTTTTTTTCTTTCAATTTCAGCATCTCCTGAACTTGTTTTTCTTATTTATATACTGTCTCCAAAAGTGATTTTGTGGAAAAGCTTCGGAAGCCTTGAATGAGCACATTCGGTTTGATTCTGTGGGTGGTTCAGATTTCTAGTGGGCAATCCGGCCATGGCCGCGACCATCCTTAAACACTAGGCATGAACACGCAGGAAGACCCACAATGTTCACAGAAGTGTGCATGCATAAGGTAACTCACCACAACGTCACGATATGTAAAGAACTGAAAACAACCCAATCTCTAGAAACAATTAAATTGTTTAATTACAATCAACATACAGTGATCAGGGTGTGGAGATCTGCACCAGAGAAAAGGCCTGCCAGGTACAGGGGTTGTCACCAAGCTTGATGTCCTGAGTTTGCTGATCACTGGAAACCACACAGGGGGAGGAGAGAACAGATTCCCAAAAGCTGTCAGGTACCTCCAATGCACAGGCACGCCCCCACACAAATACATAAACTGCAAAAACCTTCTTTTTAGGATGTGGAGGTTTAATCACAGGGAAATCTTATTTATTTATAAAGCAAGAAGGAAGGGCTGGAGAGATGGCTCGAGGCTCTTGCAGAGAACCTACGTTCAGTTCCCAGTGCCCACCTGGCAGCTCACAACTGTCGACAACTCCAGTTCCAGGCCTGACTCCCTCTTCTGGCCTGTGTGCACTAGGCACGAGTGTGATGCACATACACACATGAAAACATTCACACACACACACATACACACACATACAATCAATAAACAAGTCTTTTTGTTTCAGAGCCTGAGCGTAGGAGTAGAAAACACCTCGGAGTCCAAGGCTTTTCTTCAAAGCTGTGAGCAGACAATAACGTGGGGTCTCCTTTCCTACACTTTGTCTCCATCATGAACCTCTTTTACTGGCAGGAATTATGTTAGTAGTTTCTTCGTGTTGGCTTTAGTTAAAACTTAAGAGATCAAGTGGTTGCCCAATACCTCAGAACTAGCAGATACTGTTCTTTTAGACCACGACACTGTTTGTTTATTTAATATCCTTTGATTCCATGATAGTGCTCAATGCGTAACCTGAGCCCCTACATCAGGTTGCTCAAGAACGCTCCTCTAAGGTTAAGCTCTCTTGGCTCTTCATTTTCTGTTTGACAAATCACTACAATAAAGGAATTCACTGGGTTATTGCAAGCAGAGTAACAATAGCTTCCAAACCCCAGTTAAAAACCTTTCTGCAAAGGAGGAGTGGAGAGGGGGGCGGGTGGGGGAGGGACTGGGAGGAGAGGAGGGGGGGTGGGGAAAATGTTATCGGGCTAGAAAAAAAAATTAATAAAAGAAAAAACCTCACGGTGGAAAATGAAACAAATTAAAACCTGTGTTTCAATGTCAACATACACACAGACACACACGGAGTCCTGTTCACACAGCTCCCTCCTTGCTTCCCACAGGGTACCACGTGAAAACTCCTGCTGCCGTCTGCGACTCTCTATGTCAAGTCAGAGCTAAGGAAGAGACACACACTCAGTCTGATATTTATTTGGTGCTTTTGATTTGCAGTGTTGAATTACCATCACCAGCACACCTGCAACTCTTCGTAGTGCGCTCCATTAAGGGATAAGTAAGTACAGCTCAGTCGCTTTCGGAGAAATCACAGCGCTTCTTAGTGTCATATGCAAGAGGACCTAAGTCTTGCGTCCTCTCCTCGGAAATAAATATTAACCATAACAATGTTCCGCCACTCTTCAGTTGTCCAGGGCGGAGCACACACGGCCCCATGCAGTGCGTCAGAGTTCCTCTTTGAAATATCCCAGCTTTGCCAACGACATCTCCTTTCTCAACTGCATAACTTCCCAAAACATCTGATCAACTGCACAGACAGAGAAGAGACATGTCAATCATAACGTGTAATTACTACTCAATCGTCAAGGAAAATGTGAGCTTTGCTGAAATGCAAAGCTGGGCCTTTCCTCACACTGCGCATGTCTCACAGACTTCTCCGTGTTCTTGTGGGCACCCAAGTAGCAGCCATTAAGCAATACTCATTAGTTATGTTGTGATAAACACAGGTAAAAGTAGGCATTTCAGTGTCTAGAGTAAACACTAATTCTGTTCCCTCCTTAAGTATATTAATGCTCAATTATTCAAAGGCTGTTATTCAACTGGAGAGTCTTCTGCACTGGGGTGTTCTTCCTTGGATGTTTCATTCTCCCAGGACACAGAAAAGTCAGTAATGTTCCTTGAAGTGATAAAGGGAAGTTGTTTTGTATGGCTCAAGTCAGAAATAAAAACAAATGCTGACGTTCAACTGTACATTTCCATTGTCCACACTTCTTTTTTAAATTCCCAGTCCAAGTGGGAGAGGAGGGCTCTGTGCTTCAAGCCATACAAGGTCTGTGGTCAGCACACGCTGACTCGTCAGTGGTCTCATCAGGGGATATCTGTCCCTAAAGCACATCTGGCAATGTCTGAAAACAGTGAAAACGCTTTTCACTGTTGTGTCTTGAGGTTCTACTGGTATCTAATGAGTAGAGGCCAGAGATGCTGTAAAATATGCTATAACACACCCAAACACACACACACACAATTATCCAAGCTCAAAATATCAATACAAGAAAGTATTCATTATCTGAAATGCTTGTGAGAAGAAAGGGACCAGATTTTAATTTAAAACAAAACAAAACAAACATTTACAAAGACACAATGAGATAACCTTAGGGAAAGGGCCCAACTTCCAACTCAAAATTAAAAGGCTTCAATTCGGAGCCTGTGTGGTGGCTCCAGAGGCAGAGACAGGAGGATTTCTGTGAGTTTGAGGCCAGTCTGTTCTACAGAACAAGTTCCAGAACACACAGAGCTACAGAGTGAGACCCTGTCTCAAAAAAAGAAAGTTTCCTATGGCTCTTCTACACAAAGCCTAAAAGTAGGATTTTTATTGTACACGCATCCTAACTATAAGGTCAGGCATGGTCTGCCTGCTTGTGGTATTACGTCCATGCTCGATGTTTTGTATCTTGAAGCATTTGTGTTTGGGGGGTTAAGGTGGCCAGGCTGTAGTACAAAGGCTGAGAAACTGTGCCTTGGATTTAAGTAACCCTAGTCCTTTTTTTTTTTTTTTTTTTAAACATAAGGTTCAGATAATGAATAGGTTTTAAAATTAAAATTTTGGCTTTATACAAGGGCCCTACATGGTATATCCTGTATACTAGATACATGAAGTGCAAAAATAACAGAAACCAGTGGGAATATCACATCTGTCACTCCATTCAAGGCACTTTCTTCCTATTTTCATGAAGCAAATTGTTTTCAGACTTCCCTCAAATCTTTTATTGTCACAAGGAGAAAATTTGCATCATATTATCCATGAACAGGTATCCAAAAGATGTTATTAAAATTATAAAAATCATTACACACTTACAAACTACATTTGTTTTATAGCCTTTAGCTCCAACATTAGAGACTGGTCCATGCCTCCTTTATACATTAAAATTAATTATATGCAATTCTAAATAAATATGGCAGTTCCATATACCAGAGCCATAAGGACTGAATTGAGTCTTTGCCAGTCTAATTTTCCCATAAATTTTTCACTCGTGTATGTGACTGAAAAGAATTAGTCTTGCAGTACAGAAATATTTTCAACACCTATAAAAATCTACATGGAGAATTTCCCACAATGTCAAATACGAAAAGATGGCTCTTCCTTCAGTTCTGAAACAGTCATGTGTACTCAGTAAGTGCGCTCTGTAGCTGTCATAAGGCACCAGCCTTCATGCTGGGTAGTTAAGACTCTGGGTTACAGTCCATTAGCAACCCTGGAAGGCGACACTGAAATCTTAACATAATCACAACAGTCAGCGCATCCGTTTCTGCTGCTTCAGAATGCGGTGATCTTCTCTCTGTTCAGAATCATCACATCAATGCCTTCTAAAGTCACACGTGAAAGTCGAAACCACAGGAAACTGACAGTTGGCCCCTTACACTTTCCATCAATGAGAAGAAATCCAACCACTTGTAGAGTTTGCCCCTCATTCTCACACACACCCTCCAAGTACTGGCAACCAAACTGGGACTTCACTCGTGCTCAGGGAGCACTCTACCACTGAGCTACACCCACCCCAACATTTATTCTTAAACTTCTTTGATTTTTTTTTTTTAGGCAGGATGCCATTACCTTGCTTAAGCTGGCCTTGAACTCATCCTACAGTTCTCAATGGCCTTCAATCTGTTATCCTCCTGTCTCAACCTCCCAAGTAGGTGCCATTTAATCTTTCAAGGGTAAATGCAGTAAGCTCCAGACACCCTTTACATTTATAGTTTGACTTATCATATATCCCTAGCAAGGTAAAACTGGTTCTGTTCAAAACTCAGGAGTGAAATGAGGGAAATAAAAACATCATTTTTGGAAGACACATTTCTTTTCTAAAGGATCCATACATTTTGTTAGAACTATAAGGGAAATTCACTGGACCACAGGTATAACGGTTTATTTCTGCACATTGCTTGTCCTGATTGGCTAAACTTCAATGTAAATGTTCACAATGAATTGAGAGCACTCACCATCCTGCTGTTTCACAAGTCCCTGCTGAATATATCGAATGTATGTAAAAAAGTTACATACAGAAGTGATCTAGGACGAAGGGAGAGGTGTCAGTACTAGTCAGTTTTACGGCAAAGCAAACATTATTAAACATCATGGTCATGTTGTCACTTACCCTGTATCTGCAAAAAGGAGAAATATAGTAATAGTTGCTTGAATCCCCTAGTTTAATTCTGTGCTTACAGGACTTACTCTGGCCAGTGAGAGCACATTTTCTGCAAAATAACAAATTTCAGTTTTATTTTATAATTAAAAGCATTGCCCCCCCCCCTTTTTTTTTACAAGTCGTCTCTTCATTAAGATACAAATTATCTGAGAACCTAATGTATGTCAGGCCTGTTCTGGATGCTGGACCACCGTAATGAAAAGCACCAAGTCCCTGCCATGTGGACTTCTGTTCCAGTAGGGGCTTCGGACCGTAACACTGAGCATGCTTCTGGAAACGGACGTGGATGTTTTCCATACATGCCCTAGCTGAGAGCAAATCTACAAGGGAGGGAGGCAGCAGCTGCAGGTCAGTGCTCCGCCTGCTAACAGAACTTCATCTTCCTAGCTGAAAAGACTCTAGTCCAGATTATTCAAGTCTTAAAAACCATTGCTAGTGGTTTGCAGGGTAACAGCCTCCAAATGGAATGTGTTCGATTGGTAGGTCTGGCTGTAGGTTTGGCTGCATTTAGTATGCGACGTAAGAAGTATAAAGAAATAAGATGGCCTTTCAGCAGGAAACCTTCACACCTGAGTGAGAGGTCCATCTCACACCATCCTTTCTACCTGCAGCCCTTCTGGCTGGACAAGGCTACACAGTTCTGGAGGGTATACTGTGGCTCACTCCTCTTGAAGGCCTGTCACCAAGCAGCCATTCACTGACTGCTACGTAAGTGATGAGCCTCCTGTCACCACGCTGCTCCAGGAGGGGAAGCAGGTTATCAGGCTGGACTTGCAGCAGCCTGGCCATCAACCCAGTCAGCTGGGAGCTGGAGCAGACACAGCTACCAGTCTTTGTCAATGCAAAATTAGCATAGCTCTCAGTACAACTAAGTGGCCACAGCACCTGACGTGACATCACAAATTACACAACAGAGAACAACAATATATATATATATATATATATATATATATATATATATATATGAACTACATTAGATTTCAGTTCTACCTAAAAAAAAACACGACCCAAATGTTCCTCCACATTAAGAAACCAAGTGGAAAATACATTATGTGGAACAGGGTAATTTTAGAGGTGGCCCTGCAAATCTCTTTTCAAAGAGATTATCTTTTAACTCTTTTCAAAGAGATTACTTTACTTACTGTGCACACTTATACATACACACACACACACACACACACACACACACACACACACACCTGCAAATTGCTTTATGCTCTGTGGCAATATTTCAAAGTACTAACTACTAGCTTGGGAAGGGTCAGAGGTCAGTAAATTTAAGTTGAAAGTCCTTGTAACTTGCAAAAGGTGTAACTTATTCAGAAGGAAAACGACCCTTGAATAAAAATAAATAAACAAAAAATAAAAATAAATAAAAAATAAAAAAAAACAAGTTATACCTATTCTGAAAATTTATTCTTTTAACATCTTGCTTCATTTTGAAAGGATTTTGTTAAAGTGTTCTCAGGGATTAATTTTTAGAATAATAAAATAAAAACTGCCCTTCGGAGAGAGGACCAAGCTCTGGCTTGCCAAGTCCCCCTCTGCTCTGTGGAGGGTCTTTCTCTGTGTAGGCATATGTTTCTTCGCCCCTACTAAAAGATTTTCTCCAACTGCCTTTAAAAACAGCGTTTCTTAGACGGCCATTTCTAAATGCTAATACAGGCAGTCAATACACGCTTGATTCTGGACTCCACACTCACCTGCCTGTCTCTCTGATGCTGTCATAGAACACGCTACTTCCTGCTCCTTGCTCACGCTTGATGTATGGGGGAAGGGCTTGATCCTGCCTCAACTGAATATACCAGGCTTTGCTGTCCCCCCATATGAGGACTTACCCTTTTGGAGGAGAGCATGGGTGGTGAGTCAGGGGGAAGGCGGGGGTGGGGAGGTGGGGGAGTGGGAGGAAGGATGAGAGGGGATCTGTGGTTAGTTTGTAAAATGAATAAAAAAATTAAAAAAAAAAAAAAAAGAGCACGCTACTGCTGCAGTACTTTCCATAGCTCTGGTCTCGAGAGCTCAGATTCTCGCTTGTCTTATCACATGGGGATGGCTGCACATAAATCCAGACCCATAGCTTCTTTCAAGCCAGAACTTTTTCTACTGATTTCTAAGATACTTCCAACCATTCCTCAAATGGGCGGTCACCTCTAACTTCTTCCAGCCCCAACCCCATCTAATTTTGATTTCATCTGTCACATCTCTTTCTTACCCGTCTTACCCGTCCTCTGAACAGACTGTTTTCCTGTTGAATTTATCCAGTTCCACCCGCACTCCAAACCCTAGACCAAATCTCTCCACCTCCTAGCTGGGAGCAGTGGCTCACGCCTTTAATCCCAGCCTCGAGAGGCAGAGGCAGGCAGATCTGTGAGTTCCAGGACAGCCAGAGCTCTATAGTGAGACCCTGTCTCAAACTCAAACACACACGCACACGCACGCACGCACACACACACACACACACACACACACGCACACACGCACACACACTCTCTCTCACACTCACACCTCTCCACGTCCCGGGGAGTCCCTAATCACTAGAGTGGCCGTGCCTTTCTCAAAATTCTTACAGCACTGTACCATTTCTTTAATCACATTTTCGAAACCTGGTCCCCAAGAGACCTGGCTAGGCCTTTACCTTACAGTTTGTTTAACAGTGCAATACCTGAGCCAGCAAGACAGCTCACTGGGCAAAGGCACTAGCTGTAGAGTGTGACAGTCTGAATTCAGTCCCTGGAAGCCACAGAGGGGAGAAACCAACTCCCAAAAGGTATACTGTGACTTCACATGCATGCCACAACATTCTGCCCCACGGAAAGAAAAGAAAACGTACTAATAAAGAGAAGACCAACTCTCCCTTCAGTTCTACACAGAATATATACGTGTTTCCCACAAATGCCTTCCTTCCCTGACCATCCCCATAAGCACTGATGTAAATTGCCCTCTAAATCTAACCTATCTAATTGGTTTACTAAGACCACATTGGTCCATAGCACCATTTGTCATCACCTGGAATATACTTTCATTATGTATAGTATGCGTGACATAATACAAGCATACACAAATTCTATAGTAAAAACTGCCGCATATCATGTTTAAAATAAGGCATGATTCAGACCTGCAAAGTACAGACATTGCTGTCATTATATCTGGTTTTCCATTTGAGAGGCTGCAGGGCTGAAAGGAAAATGTTTGGTGTTTGCAGAATTTAATACTATAAATTCCCCTAAAATTCAGAGGTCGCTGTGCTGTATGTAGGTCACAGCACTAGTTTAACACGATGACAACTCGGAGTAGATGTGTGACCCCCAAAACACACACGTGACCAGTTACACTAGCCAAGCGGACACGTGGTGCCAACATCCTGTAGTCATCCTGAGACTGTGTGAGTAACAACAGAGACAGATCATACCTTCTCAACAGACTCACTAGCCCCCAGCATCACAGCAGCTGGGCGGGAGCAGAGGACTCGGTGAGCTTTCTGGAGCTTCCAGTCTCCCTCAGAAGCCCACCCTGTTATTCTTAAAACGGAAGTTAAGGCACAATTACATGCTGGTTTGGGGCAAAAACACTTCCCCGAGGTTTTAGGCCTTCTTCTCCGAGGACTGGATGGGAAAGCCTGCCCTGCTGTGAAATACAGTTGCCCTCCCTTTGACAATTCATAGTTTCCAAATGCCTGTCACGTGAGGAAGACCAAACTATCTGCCAATTTCAGAATCTTTTATAGAAATATTATGGAACGTAGGTGTGGTGATATATTGTGTACCCTAATAAACTTGCCTGAAGATCACAGAACAGAAAAAGCCAGGCAGTGGTGGCACACACCTTTAATCTTAGTACTCGGAAGGCAGAGATCCATCTGGATCTCTGTGAGTTCAAAGCCACCCTGGACTACATGAGATTGACTCAGTCTAGGAGAGAAACAGAGCCAGGCAGTGGTGGCACACACCTTTAATGCCAGTACTAGGAAGCACATGCCTTTAATCCCAGGAAGTGATGGCTGGGCAGAGAAAGGTATATAAGGAGACAGGAACTAAAGGCTTTTCAGCATAAGCGTCCATTTCGGCTAGAGGCCTTTCAGATAGAAAGCCTTTTCAGGCTGAGGAGTTGGTGAGGTAGAAGGTGGTGGCTGTGGCTTGTTCCTTTGTCTCTCTGATCTTTCAGCATTTATCCCAATATCTGGTTCCAGGTTTTTTATTATAAGACCTTTAGAAAATCCATGTTACGCGTAGGGACTATTTTTTTAAATTATGTATATATACATATATATCGGATCTGTGTGTGGGTATGTTCACATAAGTGCTGGAGTCCACACAGGCCAGAAGTATCAGATCTGAGTTATAGGGACTTGGGAGTTGCCTGATGTGGGCGCTAGGACTGAACTGGAGTTCTCTCAGGAGCATCAAGTGCTGCTTACCACTTAACACCGAGCCGTCTCTCCAGCTCCTGGTGCCCTGTTTTGACTCCTGGTTAGACCAGCTCTAAGTCAGTACCTTCCCAAACTGGTTTTGATGGCAGTCCTAAGACCAAGTATTTACTATACCAACCCATAGATAACTCGTTCATTCTCTCTGTCAAAACAAAAATTTGGCCAGCAATTCACTAGACGGACTGTGAAACCCACTTGCTTCTCACCCTTAGTCCACCTGCATCCCCAGCGTGCACTCTGTCACTGAAAGGATGCTTCTCTGGAGAAGCCCATGCCCACCTCTTGCTTAAGTCAGTGCCAGTGGCCTTCCCTTGGGTTCTTCTCATCCTCCACAGCCACACTGAAATCTAAGAATGCGCCACCTTTCTTTACCAAACAGACCACAACTTTGTCTGGGGGGAAAATAAGCTTAACTTTGAAAAGCACCAATACCATCTGGGGATTTGTCTTTGGGCCACAGACACCAAGAAGAGACTGAGGAGGAGGAGAACAATAATCACATTTACAAGACACAAATGAATAAACACAACACCACAACACAAACACCTTTGAGAACTCACTCTTTCCCACAAGGCATGGGTGTGAAAACCTACTTTGGCCCTCCACATTCCACAGCGGAAGCCTTCACGAATCGGATGGGCTGCAGCCCCACAGGCTCGATGCTTAGAGTGTTGTTCTCCACGGCCTCCAGGACAGCTGAAGCCAGCTTAAGACAACAACAACAAGAATTAAATGCTGGCAGAAAAAAAAAAAAAAATCAAAATAAGGTAGTAAGTATAAGTTAGTCTCCCTTCAATTTCACAAACTTGGCCTTAGCCACCACAAAGAAGGGAGAAAAAGCTCCAACCACAATCTCCATTTAATTCCTTTCATAATTCAAGCAGTCATGATGGGCAACTAAGTTACAGTGGAAGAATTTCTTGTATTAACTGGGAGAGGATTAAAGGTATTAATTCCAGTCTCTATCCATTCCTTACCCAAGATTACACATCCACTACAAAAGCCACTTCAAAATTAACATCCTAATGCTACATCTTGCTAAATTTATGCAATAAATACTAGTCATTTACATTAGCACTATGAACTAATTTTAGCTATGTATTTTCTCAACTTGTATTTACAGGCATAAAAATCTATAAAAAAAAATAATATTTTTCCCCAAAGTCTCCTCTGATAAACAGGAAGTAAGAGGTCCGGGTTCCTCCTGGGGTGGTTACCAGCACAGTGAATGGTCGACAATGCAGGCCCATACCCGCTCAGTACTGTGCACGTCTGCAATTCTCCTTACAAGGACGCTACAGCTCGATCCTCAGAAGACTTACGCAAGACTCTCACGACTGAATTCCTTAAACATTAGTTGACAGGCTATTTAGAGACAAACTTGTCACATAGAAGAGCAAACTCCAATTATGACTTTACAGTTGTCTATGATTTATACACTATCTGATCCTCTTAAATGCTTTTAATCTGCCTACTTCATTCTTGCTCTTAACTCTGCAACAAGTGCCAAGTTAGCATTGTTTTCCCTGTTTATTTATGAACATATTTCTGTCCTGGCTTAGGTTCCGTCCTGGCAGTGGTGGAGATCAAATTCAGGCCCTGCAGGGACTAGTCAAGCCCTTCACCCTGAGCTACCCCCCAGCTCCTCACACACACTTATCGTGTGCTGATGAGCCCAGCAACTGCCTGGAACAGAGTGCGTACAGAATGAAAACTGAGCGTGGGTGTGTAAAACAAGCAAGCCCTCCTTCCATACATATCTACACGTCACACTAACACACATCTCAGTGTTGATGACCCTCGGCAAGAGAGAGGGAAAGTGTTCAGAACAGCAGTAATCACATGACATTTTACAGGAATTTATTACATGTAAGACATTAAAATATGTAACAATGACAGTAGAAAGTACAGAAGATCTATTAAAATGAAAAAAAAATTACCTCACTTTTTGCGAATGTTAAGCATGGAAAGATATCTTCCTGATAGATTTTGTCTAAAAAAGGGCATGTTCTGTCCATCGTGGGCTCGTCCTTCCAAGATCTGAATTCATTATACAGAGATAAATCGGCCTAACAAATCAGAGCAAACACAAAACAACTTTAAAAAGAACAAATATGAACCACCTGATAAAACCAAACCCTAATTTAAACATTATTAAAAGGAAATGTTCATTTAAAGTAATAAAATTCTATCGTCCCGTAATACACAATAGCAATTTTTCTTTAAAACTGATTAACTGAGTCTTTGGGTATGTCCACTATGATGTTCAAAGATGTTGCCAACATCTGAACCTCATGGGTCTCCAAATATTGTGGCTACTCTCTTCCCCCATCTGAGGGTCTCTCTATATACCCCAGCTCTCTGGAAATCACTGTGTGAGCAGGCTGGCCCTGACTAGGCTCCTGCCTCTGCCTGACCACTACACCCAGCAATACCGGAGCTCTCTGAAGACAAAGACTGCTCTGAATAGGTACTGCTCACTAGTCTTTTCTGAAAATTATCAATCCAGAGCCAAGGTAATTATTTATAACTTTATTTAAAGTGGAAAAAAATGAGTCTGACCTGTGAAATCTAGTGTGGGATGAAAACTGAGAGTGATTGTTTTTTAATAAAGATAGTCCTGGCTGAGCGGTAGTGGCGCATGCCTTTAATCCCAGCACTCGGGAGGCAGAGGCAGGTGGATCTCTGTGAGTTCAAGGCCAGCCTGGTCTACAGAGCGAGATCCAGGACAGGCACCAAAAACTACACAGAGAAACCCTGTCTCGAAAAACCAAAAATAAACAAACAAATAAATAAATAAATGTAAATAAGTAAAGACAGTCCTAAAAGGTTGGCTAAAATATCCGTTAGTGCCAGCCAGAGGGCAAAGGGCAGCAGCATGCACACCCTGCTGCGCTGACCTCCTGAACTGCCCTGCAGCAGCAGTAACCAGCCACGCCTCCTCCTGGCCAGCCTCGTCCCCTCTCCTTGTACTCAATGTGACCTAAGCCCTCTTCTCTGCAGACCCTCAGACCCCAGCCTACCGAGCCCACTCAAGGCCACCAACCGACACACAGGGCACACGCCCCAATACAGGGCCGCGCCCTCAGCCTCACAGAGCTCTGGGCCACACTTGCAGGGGCTGAGTACCCTGTGAACACGCACTGTGGGCTGGGGCTGGCCTGGGGTAGCTTAACCAGAGCTGCAGCGCCCATCAGAGAATGAAAGGCTCAGGGCACCGTGCTCTCCTAGACTTCAAAGGTGAATAATGGCAATAAAATCTCAACGTGCTCATTTTTCATTCCAAGACATAAATTTCTTGAGTCAAAGCTAAAGTCAGGAGGATAAACCATATTAAGAGATAAATATTTAAGATTTCAAATTCACTTGTGAAGTTAATCGAGAAAATAGAAATAAGCCCCAAAGCAGGAAAGTGAATAATAATCAAAGGAAAGATTCTGGCTTAAAGGCACTAATTGAAACCACTTCCTAAAAGCTGACTCTTTCAGGAACCATGGTTCCCTAAGCACTTTATAAATGCTTAATCCTCTGATTTGTGCAGGGCTGATATGGTGATGCCAGTTTACAGATAAGGCTAGGACTTAAAGAGATAAAGTAGCTTCCCAAAGCCACACAGTGTGCCAGCGGGTTTCTATGTCAACTTGAGACAAGCTAGAGTCCCCTAAAAGGAGGAAACCGCAACTGAGAAAATGCCTCCACAAGATAAAGCTGTAGGCAAGCGAGCCCAAGGGGCATTTTCTTAATTTGTGATTGACTGGGGAGGGCCCAGTCCATGGTGTGGGTGCCATCCCTGGGCTGGTGGTCTTGGGTTCTATAAGAAAGCAGGCTGAGCCAGGCGGCGATGGCGCACGCCTTTAATCAGAGCACTCGGGAGCCACAGCCAGGCAGATCTCTGTGAGTTCGAGGCCAGCCTGGTCTACAGAGCGAGATCCAGGACAGGCACCAAAACTATACGGAGAAACCATGTCTCAAAAAACAAAAAAAAAGAAAGAAAAAAAGAAAAGAAAAGAAAAGGAAAGGAAAGGAAAGGAAAGGAAAGGAAAGGAAAGGAAAGGAAAGGAAAGGAAAGGAAGAAAGACTGAACGAGCCGGGGAAGCAAGCCAGTCAGCAGCACCCCTCCATGTCCTCTGCATCAGCTCCTGCTCCAGAATCCTGCTCTGTTTAGTTCTGATCCTTAGATGATGAAAAATGACATGGAAGCCTAAGCAAAGTAAACCCTTTCCTCCCCAACTTGCCTTTGGACAAGGTGTTTCATCACGGTGATAGTAACCCTGACTAACACACACAGTTAGACCCCAAAGCCCTGCACTGTGTACATGTCTGCACACACGTGTGTTAAAAGCTTTCAGAACACCATTTCTATGACTGAAAGCCCCACCACGTTTTCTAGAGAAACAGACACATTCCATTTCATTTCAGATAAACTATCCTAGAACAGTGATTCTCAACCTTCCTAACACTGTGACCCTTGCATCCAGTTCCTCAGGCTGCGGTGACCCCCAATCATAAAGTTACTTTCATTGCTACTTTATAACTGTCATTTTGCTACTGTCATGAACCGTAAAGATTTGAATTTTCTGATGGTCTTAGGCAACCCCTGTGAAAGGGTCATTCGACCCGAGAGGGGTTGTGACCCACACGTTGAGAATCATTGTCCTAGGGCATACTTCATTCAAACCTTGATTTCTTTTGTGTAATAAAACTTCCTGACATTTTCACAAAGCATCAGGATATAAAGTGTAACCAGAACTCAAAAGTGGGTACATGTTGCCTATTCATATGCATTTCAAAAATAGAGAAGCTTTTAAAATGGTGAGAAACCATCTAAAAAGTTTTACTATAAGCAACAGGAGAAAATATATTACAGTTACTAAGTCAAAACTACAATAAAAGCTAAAATTCTTTAAAAGTACACTTATTTAAAGTCAAAGAAATCAGAATTAAAGCAACCGCTAAAGAAGTGTGTTAGATATATTTAACAGAAACAAATATGAATTTCAGATTTTGCTACATTCAGAGTTGGATAAGAACTAAACTTTTCTGGTGACCATATTCCTTCCAGTAGTTGAACAATGGTAACTCAGTTACAATAGTTAACCTTGGTAATTCAATCTAGTAATTCCTGGCTTCTACACACAAATTAACCGAATAAACACCAACAGCTTCTTCAGCATGGATTAGCTCAAGCTCAACAATGAACACAGCTTTTAAGAAAATGAGGATCCTCCCAGAATTCTTTTTTTTTTTTTTTTTTTTTTTTTTTTTTTTGGTTTTTCGAGACAGGGTTTCTCTGTGTAGTTTTGCGCCTTTCCTGGGACTCACTTGGTAGCCCAGGCTGGCCTCGAACTCACAGAGATCCGCCTGGCTCTGCCTCCCGAGTGCTGGGATTAAAGGCGTGCGCCACCACCGCCCGGCCCCTCCCAGAATTCTTGATCAACCCCCTTAGAAACAGTTTTCATCACAAATGATAATAAAACTAACAATGTTTAATAATTATATAATTTCTACTCTATACATTTCAGAATATATAGTATCTAAGTTATCGTTATGTTTTCTAAAATTCGAGGCTTCTATTATTTCTGGGTTCCGTTCGTTTTCTTGCTTAATTATTTGAATCAACTCTAGGACTTTCGTACTGTTGTAAAAATCTGCTTCTCTCAGATTCCGAATAAAAAGAGCTAACAGTAATCTTTAAGAAAATCATCTGATTCTCACACTCTTATACTTCCATTTGAATACTGCACTAATGGAGCACGCCGACTAGTGAGGACGTGACGGCCACTGGCTTTCCTTTACACAGCACGCGCCAGTTTCTTCCCTGAATGAAAATCTGAAACGCAGAAACTTACCAGGTCTGCAGCGGGGACTCCAAGGCCAGCCAGCAGAGAACAGGAGGGAAGGGCCCCTGACAGCAGCCAGCTCTAGATAAAGCCTCCCCCATCTTAATATTGCACAGTTGGTACTGAAAAAATTTGGTGGCAAAAAAAAAAAAAAAAAAAAAAAGATGACAACGGACACCTCCGTGACGGGAAGTGACAAGTCAGAGGGGACGTCCTTGGCGCATTACCTCTTTGCAGTCCTTCACAAGTGGCTGGATCACACTGAGGTCCTGGTGGCTGCCGCTCATGGCACTGCTGGTACTTTTATTCCTGGTGTGCCCCCTTTTGAAAGGGGTCTTTCCGGCCGCCAGAGGCTCCTGGGTCGGTGACGTCGGAGAGCTGGACAGCACGAGTGTCTTCAGGGCGGCCACTTCAGCTTGAAGTACGTCAATCTTGAAGAGAAATCAGCACCGTCACACACACAGCATGCTTTATGACAGATGTGGCCGAACGTCAGCAGTTTGGTCAACACACTTTCAAGGACAAAAATAAGTTCAATTTGTATTTTCTGTGGGGTAATGAAAGGAAAGTAATCCAAGTTTTTGGGGTGTCCGTATGGCTTGCATTCAACTGCCAGCAATGTCAAAAGAAAAAATTTAAATGGCCAAAAAAAACCTAACATTAATGTGGATTTTCAAAATCCTTAAGATATATTAGCTTACAATTAGCCGTAGCTCACTCCTAAAATAATCTATTTAGGTGTCCTTTTTTCCAAAGTACTAAGAAAATAAGTATTAACTTTTAATTGTGACTATCGAATCCTTTTATGTGATTTACAGTTTTACAGAGGTTGACTGTGATACAAATGCACCAGTGTTCAGCGTCAATGGTACCTGTATGCACCTAACTATGTTCTCGTTCACGGTTTCTACGGTTTCCAAACGTAAAGTAAGCACCGCTTCTCCCATCAGAACAGCGCCAACGGTTGCTAAGCACCGTGGAAACCGGGATGACTGACATCCTCCTAGTCCGTGACTAAGGCAGTGAGACTCACTTTTCCTTGGGCTTCCTTCAGCTGCTTTTCCGCCGTGGCCTGCTTGACATTCGCTTCCCTCACCATCTTGTGGGCTTCCTGAAAAAGTCAACACCTCACGTTGTGGAGATGAAGTGTGTTAGCACGCATTTTCAAAGCACGTTTCCGCAGCTACCTCTGACTGAAGCCAAGGCATACTGCCGAGTTCTACCCTGGAACTAAGTTCCTGGTCCGCTCCAGGAAAAGCAATTGGCATTAGAAGAACAGGAGGGCAAAGTGTGGACCAGACACTCTCCACTGAGCATCGATTAGCCACTGTGGCAGCCAAGGTGGGTCCAGACAATCCAACAAACACCTGCGTCGGGACTGTGACCGTTAAACGGACAGAGGACGACGGCAGGGCAAGCCACGTGTTTGCAACTAGGGGTCTGAAACTCAATCAGGGTACACACACCTATTGTTCAGTCGCAGGAAAAATACACGGAAGGGACGAGTAAAAACTGTGAACACCCCACCAGGAGCGACGACTGAGGAGTTTCCGTTTCCAGGAAACACGAATAAAATGATATGGGTGAAAACTGTACTGTACAGCGTGACCTGGGAAGGGAAATCAGTCTACCCTCTAGCGGTCTTGACGTCCTCATGCAGCAGATAGGAAATTGTAGGAAACTGCAGTGTGTACTGGCCTTTTAGTCATAAACATCTACTCATGATGTCTCTTTATGAGGGACTGTTCCAGGGGTACTGTTCCAGGCTCTGACAACGAACCAGGAAAAGAGACAAAGGCCCTGCTCCTGAAGAGCACGTGCTCAGGGAACGTTCTAACAACAACAAAATTGGGCTAATAATCCGATTTTATTCTAAGTGAAAGATGAAGTCTTTTTTTTTTTTAAGAAAGAGAATAACATGATCTCATATTTTAAAGATTATGCTTTTGTGCAAAATAATCTGTACAGGAGATTAAAATGGATCTGAAAACATGGGATTTAAGAGTTCGTATTTCAGAACTTTAATATATCCAAAGGAGATTAAGATATTTAATAAACACACGGTCTGACTACCGAGGCCTGAGCTGCCGAGTGGCAGGGTGGAAATCTCCCTCAGAGGGCGCCATGGCACCCACAGCTGCTCATGTGCTCTTACGGTGTATGGAACTGGACAGACAGCTGCTTATTTGTCTTGTGAACATGAACCTCGATGACATTAAATAATCGAATGTTCACCATCAATGATTTATAACCAAATGAGATGAACCACAGATATACTTCATGCACCATTACGCTGCCTATCTGGCAACGTCCTTACGAACCGTCAGATGTAGTGAGTTCAGCATTTTCCTTTGGAAAACAACAGTTGTTGCAGAATTGCTGAATTTCTCTGGGATAAGTTGGGGCTGTCAAAAGAAGACTATGTGGCAGATATTTTCAAAATAATAAACCTGCCTGCTCTGACCTCTCCTAAGACAAGAGGCATTTAAGTCTAAATGCAGAAGACACTAACGCCAGCCGGAGGACCAGCTGAACCGGCCGGCGATGGACTCAATGTCAACTCTGCAATTTGAATATTTGAATCAAACTTCTTAGAGAGGAGACCTGGAAGAATTGACGTTTAAAATGTCTTTGAAAGCATCAGAGAGAGAAGGAAACAAGTGAGCCGCTAGAACCACGGCCAGGAGAAACCCAAAGGGAGACATGAGGTGACCTTTCCAGTTGCAAGAGGGACGCTGTGAAAGACGCACAGGTGTAAGCGATGTCCCCAAAGAGGAGGGTGCTGGCCTGCGGCAAAACCATCTGAGGAGATGATTTTCTGAATGCGATCGACGGCATGTCAGAACGCAGGATTCCTAACCGTTCGGGTTGTTTTCTTCCGCTGTCTCTCTGAAGGAGAGATGATGGAAGCCTATTTCACCAGGCCTTCCCAAACCTTCTCCACCTGAGAGGCCGAGAACGCCACTTCTAGTGCAAAAGGGCAGAGGCGTGGTTAGACCATTTCAGAAACGGTTAAAATGGCTTTTTAAATACATAACTTTTATTAAAAATTTCTTTGGCAATTTGATATACGTATGCAATGCTTTCTGGCTATTTTCACCCCACCCGTCCTCGCTCCCTCCTACCCGCCACCTTCCCTTTAAAGTCCCTTTCTCACATTCATGTCTTCGCACACGTGACATCTGTGTGACCACGTTTTGAACTATCCACTGGGTCCTGGCGGGCTCGCCTGGATACAAGTGGTACACAAGTAAAGACAATGACTGCATCCTCCTCAGAACCCAGCAGGAGCCAAGAGTTCATCAGGGTGGGGTACGGTCCCTTGAGCCCCTCCCGGTCCCTGCTGAACTGGTGACAGGCCCAGTCTTGTGCAGGCCCAGGGCTGTGAACACTGCATTTCTGCAGCCCTCCTCCATATCTTCTGGCTCTTACATTTTTTTTTTGAACTCCTTTTTTTGAGGGGGAGGGTAATTTCTTTTTTATTTATTTTTTGTTTTTCTGCATCCCAATCAAAGTTTCCCTCCTTTCCCTCTTTGTAGATCCCCCCTTCCACTCCACTCCTCTGTTTCTCTTCAGATAAGGGCAGGCCTCCCTCCTTGGCTATCAGCCAGCCATGGTACATCAAGTTGCAGTGAGACTGGGCACCTCCTCTTCTATTAAGGCTGGATGAGGCAATCCGGTAGGAGGAAAGTGTCCTAAAAGCAGGCAACGTAGTCAGTGATAGCCCCTGCTCCCGCTGTTAGGAGTCCCACAAGAAGACCAAGCTACACAACTGTAACATATACGCAGAGGGCCTGGTTCAGTCCCGTGCAGGCTCCCTGGTTGTCAGTTCAGTCTCTGTGAGCCCCTACGAGCCCTAGTTAGTTGATTCTGTGGGTTTTCTTGTGGAGTCCTTGACCCCACAGGGTCCTATAATCCTTCCTCTCCCTCTTCCATGGGATTCCCAGAGCTCTGCCTCATGTTTGGCTGTGGGTCTCTGTATCTGTTTCCATCACCAACTCCTCTTTTTAATGTTTTTTCTTTTAAATAAAACTTAAGCCAACACTTGAAACAGCAATTTTTCTCTTTTTAAATCCTTTTTTACATTTATTAATTTATTTTGTGCGTGCCATGGCATGCATGTAGAAATCAGAGAACAACTTGCAGAAGTTAGCTCTCCATTTCTACCATATGGGTCCCAGGGATGGAACTTGGATCGGGCTTGGTCACAAGGGTCCTCACCCGCTGAGCCACCTTGCTGGCCCTACAAACAGCAATTTCTAAAAGTCAAACTTTCTAACAATACAATCCAAACACACACTAGTTGGATATCTAAATCCTCAGGAATGATGTAAGAAGAACATATTTTAAATTTTTGTTTTCTGCAGTTAAACCCATATGTTTCTAGAGGAGCAGAAAGCCATATACAGTAAAAACACTGCAATTCCTAACAGACTACAGTCCTGAATCTGCAGTGAGGCATTTCAGGCGGCATTCACTGGTAGTGGAATGCACAATGCTGAGTGAGTATATCGCAGGTTCAGAACCAAGGTGAGGCCATAAGCTGTGACACCAGAGAGCTCCGCAAACACTTGAGGTTCACTGCATGCTTGGTTTCAAGTTAACTTCTGAAGTGTCCACCAACACCTTCTCCTCTTGCCCTATCCTCCACTCAGTTACACAGCCCCAGTTTAAGGAGCTGTGAAATGATTAGGAGTCACCAAACTTCTGTAAAGGGTCAAATGGCATTTGGATTTCAGGACCACAGTTTCTGTTATAATGATTCAACTTGGTTTTAGCACTGTGGAAGCAACCAGAGGTAATACATAAATGAACTGCCTGTCTCAATAAAAATTCAGTAACAGTAAAAGTTGTACTTTCTATTCAAAAACAAAAACATACTCACCTCACCTTGCCCATATTTTTTTGGTGGTGGGAACACTTAAGATCTACTTTTCAGCAAACTTCCAACATACCTGCTACCATCTAACCAACATCTCCATTTCTCCCATTCCTCAAGCCCTGGTAACCACAATCTACTCTGCTCCGATTACCTCAACTACTTCAGAACCCATATGAAAGAGAGACCATGTGTCATGGTCCATTCTTCACATCGTCTATATTGCCTCAAATGGTAAGATTTTTCTTTAACTTTTAATAATTTGTGTGTGGGGAGGTGCGTGCGTGCGTGCGTGCGTGCGTGCGTGCGTGCGTGTGTGTGTGTGTGTGTGTGTGTGTGTGTGCGCCAGAGAACAACCTTCTGGAGCTGACCTCTCCTTCACCAGAGGACCCACTACCGGTGTGTACAGGTTTTAGTTTGATGCAATTCCACTTGTCTATTTTTCTTCCATTTTCTGAGCTTTTTTGTTTCATATTTTAAAATAATCATAATAATAAATTAATTAATAAAACACCTATTCAGACCAATGTCAAGAAGCTTCTCCCGAGTTTCTGCTAAGGTGGCTTCAGGCCCTTTAATTCATTCTCTGGGGTTGTTTCTAGTGTAAGGGTTCAGCTGCATTATCTACGTGTGTGCGTGTCATTTACTGAAGGCACTGTCCTTTCTTCAGTAGGTGTTTATTAGCCCCTCAGTAAGAATCAGCTGAAGCCAGGCGGTGGTGGTGCACACCTTTAATCCCAGCACTCGGGAGGCAGAGGCAGGTGGATCTCTGTGAGTTCGAGGCCAGCCTGGGCTACAAAGCAAGTTCCAGGAAAGGCTCAAAGCTACACAGAGAAACCCTGTCTCGAAAAACTAAAAAAAAAAAAAAAAAAAGAATCAGCTGATTACAAATGCACAGACTCATCTCTGGGCTCTACTCAATTCCACTGGTCTACCTATCTTTCGTCTTTTCAGTGACGCCGTAGTTCTGAAGGCTGGAGCTTTGTCATGTATTCTGAAATCAGTAAATGTCAAGTATCCAGTCTGACAGCTCAAGAGTATTTTGGCTATTTGGCTCTTTTGTAGATCCATGTGAATTTCAGGATATTTCTTCTATTTCTGAAAATAATGTAATTGGGATTTTGATAGTGACTACACTGAATCTATAGATGACTGGTTACATAAAAATTTAACTAAATTAATTCTTCCAAACCATGGAATGATTACTTGTGCATCTTCTTTAATTCCCTTCATATCAACCTACCACAATTTTCAGCATACAAATCACTGTTTTATTTCTAAGGAAGCGATTCTTGTGGATGCTTTTGGGAAACTGTCTTTAATTCCCTTTTCAGATCACTTGCTGTATATCGAAATACTACTGACTTTTTTTTAATCTCAAACTTTACAAAGTTCATTTATCAGTTCTGTTTTTATTGCTGAATCTTTTGGCTTCTCTATATAAATGATAATCATCTGCAAACCTGTTCTGACTAGGATTTAGTACCACATGGCTTCCTTGGCTTGGACCAGAGCACAGAGGAAATACTTTCAGTTCCTCCCAGTGATCACGATGCTGCCTATGTTTAATACATGGTCCTCAGTGTGTGGAAAATATCCCTTTAATACCTCATTTGTTAAAAATTATCATAAATTAATGTTGACTTTTGTAAGATGGTTTTTCTCCATCTGTTGAGACAACCCATGGTTTCTATCTCCTATTAATGGAGTGTGTCACACCAATTGATTTGCTGATGTCAGACCATCCTTGCATTCCAAGAATAAACCCTATTTGGCCATGGTATATGGTTCTTGTCATGTGCTGTTGAACTCAGCTTGTGAGTATTTCAAGAGTTTTGCACCTTAGTGTGTCAGAACTATTGGCCTACAGGGTTTTTCTCATGGCCTCTTCCCTGGCTTTGCCATTACAGTAAAACGGATTTTGTCAAATGTTTTTACAAGTGTGCTCCCTTTTATTTACATTGCTTTGCTTTGGTTTTAGCAAATGTTTGTGATTTTGTTTTACTGTCTGGTAAAAGTCACCTGTGAAGCCATGTAGCACTGGGCTCTTATCGGTGAGTTGGCCTTGGCTTTGCTGTGTTTGTTACTGACCCAGTGTGTCATTGGTCTCTTCTGACTTTCTACGCCATCTTGATCCCTTCTTGATAAACTGTTTATTTCTAAGAATTTCTCCGTTTCTTCTAGAGTATTTGACTGGAGTGTGATTTTTCATACAGGACTCTTGTGACTTTATGAAATCTTCATCTGTCTCTTCCTCCGCCTCTTTTTAAAGCTTTCTCTTTTTCCCTCTGTCTAGTAAAGGTCTTGGTTATTCCTTTTTTCCAAACAGCAACTCTTAGTTTTGTTGATATTTTCCTTTTTTGTCCTTGTTTCTATAACTACTACACTCTGTTACTTTCTTCCTCTTGCTAATCTGGGACTCAGTTTGTTCTTTTTCAAGTTCCTTGAGGTCTGACATTAGGTCGGGTGTCTTCTTGTGGTTCTCTGTGGGCATTACTGTTACGCAGTTTTCTCAGCACCACTTTTACTGCATCTCATAAGCTTTTACTACGCTATGTTCTCAGTGTTTGTCTCAAGAAGTTTCTCAAATTCCTTTTTAATTCCCTCTTTAACCCCACAGTTCAAAGTGTCTTAGTTTCCACATACTTGTGTATTTTGCTGTTTTATTGCTGATTTCTAATTAGCTGTCACTGTGGCTGCAAAAGATTGTGGAAATCTTTTGTCTTTTTAAATTTATAATCAATCTTTCAATGTAACATGAATTACTCTAGACAATATTTCATGTACACGAGAAGAATGTGGATTCTTTTGTCATGTGGGAAGTTCTACGTATGTCCACAGGTACATCTGGTCTAACGCTATCCAACCTACTGCTTCTTTATTTGATTTTCTATCTAAACAATGTATCCATTAAATACAAGGGGTACTAGCATCTCCTACAATTACTACATTGTTGTTTCTCCCTTCAGCTCCGATAGTATTTGCTTTGTATATCTAGGTGCTTTGTTGTTGGGTACATATTTAATTGTATCATCTAATCAAACTGATCTTTTGTCATTATGTAATGACCCTGTCTCTTAATGACAGTTTTGAAAGTCTATTATGTGCAATTCAAATACAACAATGCTTGTTCTCCTTACCAGCTGCACAGAAATCTTTCTCCACTCATTCACCTTCAGGCTGTGTGTATCTACATGTATATTTTGATTGGAGAATTTGGTTTGTTTACATTTAATGTAATTATTATAAGGTACAGACTTACTCTCCCCATGTTGTTCATTTGTGTTCTCTCTATTCTGTAGTTTCCTTGTTCTTCTTTTCTCTTGCTCTCTTCATTGTGGTTTGGTGGTATGAGCGTGTGTGTGTGTGTGTGTGTGTGTGTGTGTGTGTGTGTGTGTGTGTGCGCGCGCATGTGTGTGTGTTGGTATACTTTGATTTTTTTCTCTTTTGTGTATCTAATGTACTTTTTATTTTGATTATCAGAACTCAAACTAAACAGTTCCCCATTATAACACTGATTTCAGCTGATTAACTTCAACTACATGCAGACACTTTAAGATCTGCTAACCCACTGTGCAGCCCCGGGACATGGCGACCTCCACAGTCATGAGCCAGTTCTTTACAAGAAGTGTCTCTCTCTCTCTCTCTCTGCCTGTCTCACACACAGATGCTCCTCTGCATCTGTCTCTCTGTGCCAATGCCACTGCTATCAAGAGTCAAAGCAGAGCTGGGTAGAAATCTTGGTCCTGAGGGCAAGCTGGATATGAAGAGGTGTGCCACCTACTGTCCCTCAAATCACCCTGTGACAATGACTACACCTCAAGGGTGTGCAATCATAAAAGAAAATTAAAAATTAAACAAAGTAGCCCCTAACTAACTGGTAAAATTTAAAACTCAAGTTACTAACCTCTCCTTTTACACATACATGTTTAAACCGCCAGATACTGATAACCTACGGTATTCTACTTCCCTCTTTACACTATTTTAAATTAGGGACTGCATTTCCTTACTATAATTAAAAATTATGTTCTCTTTCTTGCTTAGAGGGATTATGAATACACATGAAGCTAGCCATGTCCTTCTCAAGATTCCTTCATAACCACTTCCGTCAACATGTGAAACTGAGATGTTGCTCTTGGCCACATGGGAACAGACCAACCTCAAACAGACTAGCTGTGAGTTCTTCCAGCTCCTGCCCGAGTTGATCTCGCACTTTCGAAAGCCTCTCACATTCTTCATCTTTTAACTTCAATTCCTATGAGAAATTGATAATTTTGTTTTAGATCTCTTCAGTCTGATATGAGAGTGTATCGACTACATAATAGTTATTAAGCAAATGGTAAAATATTAACACCATCTCCTACATGTTCCTATGGAAAATGCCTAGTCCCTGCTAGATGGAAGACAACCGGACAACTCTCCAGTAACAACTAATCCCAACATGTTACATTAGTCTCTTCCATAAAACATCCTGAGACTAAACATAACACAAAAAACACGATTTCGCTGGGCGGTGGTGGCGCAGGCCTTTAATCCCAGTACTTGGGAGGCAGAGCCAGTCGAATCTTTGTGAGTCTGAGGCCAGCCTGGTCTACAAAGTAAGTTCCAGGAAAGGCACAAAGGTACACAGAGAAACCCTGTCTTGAAAAAACTAAAAAAAACAAAACAAAAAAAAAAAAAATCCACGATTTCCCCTTCGTCTTTTCTCTGAAGATGCTTATTTCTATAGAGCGTGTGCTTCTTTCAATTTTGTATATCAATGCCAATAAAACTAATTACTTTCTAAAGTTTATTTGGAGGAGACAGATGGCTCAGCCAGTGAAGTCCCTGCCACAGAAGCCCAAGGACCCGAGTTTGGACCCAGAACCCATGTGAAACAGCCAGGCACAGCAGTGCACATCTGTAATCCCAGCACCGAGGAGGCAGAGACGGACAGATCCTAGAGCTCCCTGGCTAGCCAGCCTGCAAGCAGGTGAGTCCACACTCAGTGAGAGACAAGTACGGGAGAGCACCTAAAGAAGACATCCTTGTGAGTCTCTCATCGCCACACTTTTGCACGCGCACACACACACACACACACACACACACACACACACACATTATTGTATTCAAACATCAAAATACTCCATTTCATATGCTGAAGTCTCCCTAAACTAACCTTTCAAACACAGATTTTGAAACAACTGACGCTCCTTCCGCGTCACTCACAGTTCCGCTGATAATGTAATGACTAGTCTTGTGATGGTAAAGGCAGCTTAGGTTTGCAATCTCCCAAGGACAACTCGTGAAACCCAAACATCCTAAGCTTGTCAACCTGATGATAAATCCTCAACAGAACTTGGTAGAAGAAAATCCTCGCAAAGCTCAGGATATAAGAGAATGTGTCCTCACTGTGCAGGAGTAAGTGAAGTAAAGACTCAGACCCACAACTCATTATAAATTCCTCAAAGTATGATGACCCACACTTTGGAGAAAACTGGAAAAAAGCAGGAAGGCTCCCCAGGCCACACGTGCAGGTGAATGCAATCAGCCACATGTTCCATCCTTAGGTATCGAGCTGCTAGGAAACTCTTAACCGCTCACACAGGGCAGGAGTAGTGAGCGAGGGGCCTGTCCCAGCACAGCCTCGCACTGAGGGAAAGCCTGTTCAGAAAACCATCAAAACTCTGCAGGCAGGCTGAGACAGGGCTCTGATCTAATAGTGGGATGCTGAGAAGGTAAGACCCCCGGACACACTGCCCCAGAGAAGACCTGGCTAGACAGGGTGTAACTCTCAAAGGAGGAAGGCCACACTGGCTACCCTGATCCTTCACCCAAACCTCCGAATGCTCCACTAGAAACTCAAGTGATATGCACATGAGAAACAAAAATGGATACGCAAAGTTACAGCTCAAAACAAGACGTTCTGGTGTGCCGCTGTACAGCAGGCTGACTAAAGTAAAAATGTGCTGAGCAGTTCAAAAACTGTAATAAAGGATTTCAAGAATTTTGTCAATAGAAAATTGTGAAGAGCTAGATATGCTTAACACGATTTAAACGACACAATATACATATGTATGAAACATAATAGTGATATATTAATGTATATGATTTTTATGTTTTCTGTTAAAAACTTTTAAAAGCCAAGTTACCTATAAGGGAGAAAAAAATTGGATGTCTGAATCTTCAACAGCAATATTTTATGCTATGAAACAACAAAGTAATATTTTTTAAAGACTCTCTAGGCTATAAATTAGTATTTTATATCCAGCCAAACTGTCTTTCTTTTTGGTTTTTCGAGACAGGGTTTCTCTGTGTAGCTTTGCGCCTTTCCTAGAACTCACTCTGTAGCCCAGGCTGGCCTCGAACTCAGAGATCCGCCTGCCTCTGCCTCCCAAGTACTGGGATTAAAGGCGTGCGCCACTGCTGCCCGGCTCCAAACTGTCTTTCATAAGGTCACAAAGTAACGCACCTGTAGGGTCTCGGGAAATGTCTGCCCTATGAACCTGCTGGAGTGGTAGAACAGAGTAAGTTTCGGTAGCTCAAACAAGATAAAAACTGCTGAAGCTTTCTTTACTAAGAGTGAAAAGGAAACTGTCGAACTGTGACTTAGAGATGAAGCCATCGAAGAGTAAGAGTAACTGAGGGGATGACGTGATGGGAGAGTGCGTGCCTAACAGGATGAGGCCCTGGGTTCGATCCCTGGGGTGAGGACACGGATGGGGACACACACACAGGAAGGGAGGGGACAGAGGAAGGGATGAGTGGAGAGAGACAGAGAGAAAGAATGGTGAGCCACAGATAGGATTCAGTATTTGCAAAAGACCTATGTGCTGAAGACCTAGTATCCAAAATCTGAAAGGAATTATTAACATTAATAGAAGAAAAACTTTGAAAATGAACAAAACAGCAGACCAAGACGTTGCACCAAAGACACAGAGGTGACATGTTTATGAAAGAATGTTCAATGTTCTCACTGAGTAACCGCGAGTGAAAATAAACTGCCACTAGACAGCCATCAGAACGGCCAAAGCCCAGCCCTTCACTGAAGACACTGAACGCTGGTGAGGACATGGAGAACAAGAAACTCCATCCCTGCTGCTGGGGGAACAAAGCCCTGCAGTCCTTTTGAAAACTGACCTGACAGCTACTTACAAAACCAGACACAGTCTTAACACACGATCCAGTAATCACACTCCTTGCCAGAGATCCAAAGGAGTGGAAGACCGAGGCCTCATACAGATGTTTTTAGAACTTTACTTGTAATTTCCCAGACCTGGAAGCACCAAGGTATTCGTTACTGGACAAGTAACTGTGGTCAATCCACACAATGGATGAGCACTTGGGGGTAAAGGAAGTAAGCAATGCAACCATGGAGAGAGATGCAAGAAACGTAATGCAACCATGGAGAGAGATGCAAGAAACGTAAATGCATGCCCCTAAGTGAAAAGCCGACCGGAAGCTGCATTTCATCCTGCACAAGATGCAGATCTGCAGAGGTTATAAAAGGACACAGGAGGGACACAGGACCCGTGACAGTGCTGAGAACCACAATGCCCAGTGAAACTGTACATACTCCTGACCAACACAAAAGGAAACAGCAAGACTCCCTGTCAGTTTCCAGAAGACCGGAGCCACAGGTGAGAGGCTGTCACTCACACAAGCAGAACCTACTACCAAAGCTGCATAAACTCCGCCCACTAAAGGCCTCAGGAGCTTGTATCATCCACCTCTTCAGAGTTCGTCCTTGATTCACACTCTAAACAGGGTCACTCCCCAGTCTGGTCCAAACCATCTGAACTTTCCCCACAAATGACTGATGCCTAAGTTTGTCCGTATGCTTCAAGGTCCGACTCAGACAATGAAAATGAGGTAAGATGTGGTGTCCTCGTGAATCCTTTTAACATTGGTGCTCTTCCTTATCAGTACTCTGTACTGTAACACGGTTATTCAATCCTCACTCCTTCAACAAATGCTAACTTTGTTAACTCAGGCAATCATCTTAGTGCTGGAGACAGAATCTGAGAGCAAATTCATGGTTTTCCTCAAGTCACTGTCTGATGAGGGTTGCAAAGCTTTTCGGCAGACTCACAAGGAAATCTGTAAGTTATGACGGGTGTGTATCAGGACAGCAGGGGTCTGAAGCAGATGATGACGTAGAGGGTGGAGGCTACAGGAAAGGCAGGGTTATGACCTGTCTCAGGTAGCACAGAAAGAAAGGTAAAGTAAGAAATAGGACTTTTATAAGAGAAGGGGGGTCTCTGAAGGATTCTAATCAAGGTCGAATTAAGAAAGCAACCATCAGATTTGCCCTTCAGGATCTATCACTTGTACAGTTTGGCTAAGTTTAAAAACAAACAAAAAAACAACCCACTGGAGAAACAGATGACTGTAATGACTGTAAAATTTCAGGCCAGTGGTACAGACTGAGAGTGTAACCCGGGGAAGTAACCCGGGAGCTTCACAGAGAACAAGCTTATGTCAGCATTAACGACTTCGTCTTCACTGTATCCCCAGAAGCGGTCTTGCTATGTCCCCCAAGCTGGCCCGACTCCTGAGGTCAACAATCCTTCTGCAACTCTGCATCCCCCCGAAGCAGCTGGGGCTGACCATGCATGACAGCGCGGTCAGTGAAGACCTCCTCTTCCCGACCCCAGGGCTGGAGACTGAACCACCCAGCACTGCGCACAGGATGCAACCTCTCTACCACTCGGCTATAGATCTAGTTAGGCTTCTTCATATGATAAACATTTCATCATATAGAAGATGAAGAGAGGAGACATAAGAACGGGAAGGATTTTTGAAACTGGAGCCAAAATGTCCAAAATTTTATGAAAACCAAAAACCTACAAGAGCACATCACACTCTAAGTGTATGTGTGCACATGCACACACACACACACACACACACACACACACACACACCACAGAGCTCTGAAGAAAATACACTACCCGGGGAAATCATAAAAATGCTTACAGAAGACTCTCACGGCAGCAAGAAAACAAAGACATCGCACACAGAGCAACTTCCTGTGAGAGCCAATGTGTGCTGGGGGACAGCAAAGCACCACTTTTGAATACTAAGAGGAAGGCTGCATACATCAGCCTCCAGGTCTGCACCCAGTGACATAAAAACTAAAGTAAAAAGGGACCTCACGTCGTAAGCCACAGGAAACACGTTAAAGGTGCCCCTTAAACAGAAAGAAAAAGCCAGCTGGAAATCTAGACACACATGAAACGAAAGAGCAGCACTGGAAACAGTAGCTATGTATAGAAAACCAAAGATTCTTACCATTATTTATATCCCTTCAAAATAATCAAATGTTTAACGCAAAACAAAGGTGTGTGATGAGATTCAAGATCTATGAAGTATATGAGAATCACTGCACAGAGCTGGAACTGAAAAAGAAAATAGAGGAGTTCTAACGTTCTTCTACTGTACACAGGCAGTCTGCCGCTGGAGAGTGGACAGTGACAAGGTGGAGGAGTGTACTCTAACCATGAACTAGGTTAACCTAACAATTAGCCAGGAAGCCAAAGAAAGTAAATTACCAAAAATAATGAACTAATACTAGAGGAGGAATAAGATAGGAGATCAAACAGAACAAGAGAAAACAAATTGTAAGACAACAGATTTAGCCAAAGTTCATTAATACTGCACTAAGTATAAACGGCCTAAACACACCAGCTAAAAGGCACGTATTAGTAGAAAGGATAAAAATCAAGACTTACTTTGAAAAGGAAGGTACAAATAAATTAAAGGATGAAAGCAAGGCAGTTAAGAATCACCAGAATACGAAATGGCCAATGACGTAATTTTGATTCATAAGTTATCAGAATTCAGAAAGTATTTTCATATGCAAGTCCTCCTCAAGACTTGAGTCCTAAGCTAACATTAAAACTATATTATACTCATCCTAATACAATTCAGTATGTACATGGTCACACATCATAATCCTTTCAGTTACCTCAACACAGCTCTAAATACTACAAACTGAAGATTTCAAAGAGATTCCCAGTGTAGCTATGAACACACAAAATATAAATAAATGGGGGAAAAAATGAGAAGGCCATGGTGGAGAGATGGTGGATTACATGCCCAGACAATGTCATGGCATGAAAGAAATAAGAGTTTGGCATATTTTCTCAATTTTTAAAATACAAATTGGTATTTGATCACAGCTGTCAAATTTATGTACATAGTATTTTTCTTATCATCCCTAAATTGTACTTTTGCTGTCTGTGGGATCAGGAGTAATACCTGTTTTACTCTTTATACTGATAATCTATACCCTTTCTAAAACTTTTCTTTGCCAGAGGTTTGTCAATTTTATCGATGTTTTAAAGAATCTGTATTTTATTTGTTTTCTATTTCTCTGGTTAATTTCACTGAATTCTGCTCTCACTCTTTACCATTCCCATTCTTCTACTCACTATGTTTGACCTGACTTCTGTTTTAGGCTGATGAAGTAAGATTGTTCATTTATGACTTCTCCTGGGCAAGAGAGATGGCTGAACAGTTAATGTTTGCTGCACCATCATGAAGACCAGAGTTCAGATCCCCAGCATCCATGAGACAAGTCTAGCCCATAACCGCAGCTCCAGGGGGTGAAGGGGAGTTGGAAAGATCACTGATGCTTGCTGTCTTCTAGCCTAATCTAGAAAATGGGTTCAAGGAGAGACTCTGCCTCAAAGGAATAGGCAGAGAGCGATAGAGGAAAACACCCCATGCACCTGACCTCTGCGCGCACACACACAGGCAGATGTACCATCCCCTACACACACACACACACACACACACACACACACACACACACACACACACAGTATATATATTTCCCATTTCCTAATGCTATGCAGTTCTCTCTGCAATTTAATTTCAGTCTGGGGATGGGGGGTAGGAAAAGGGCTGGCCATAAATTTAAAGACAAATAGAAAAATTATCAAGGAAAGAAAGTTCTCCTATGTAAAATACAGACAATATTCACAATCAGCAGGAAAAAGGTGACATTACTAAAACATTCCTCCAAGTAAAAAGAACTAGCCTGGAGGGCTTCGGTGAGTGACTCCCAAGCCAACCACGTAAGGTGACAGTTCATGTGGGATACAATCGGTAAGACTGTGTAAGGACTAAAGCTAGACAGACAGCAAGACAGACAGCAGTCGGGACAGAGCTTGAGAATCTCATTCCGACGGCTCCTATTCCTAGGCAGAGCTTCTTTATCACTCAAGCAATTTCACACACTACGGATGCTGTCCAATGAGGCTGAGTCCACGTGAAGGGTAAGAGCAGAACTGTGAGAATGTGTTTACGAGCTGCCATCCCAAGTCGTCATTCGAACAGAATACACAGAAGGACAACACGGTTTCCTTACCCTCTGGGCTTTCGCGAGTTCTTCCTTTAACCTTTCGTAGCCCTTTTCTCTAACTTCCAGAACAGATGGGCTTCGTAAACGCGACAGGCTATCGGTACTCAGCCCAAAGATATCATCGCTGCCGGCGGGAGCCTCTGTGACGGTGGCGCCCTGCAAAAACTCCCTCTCGGCATTACAGCTGTCCTTCCTTGAACTTAACTTAATGAGTCCTACTGCCACTCCAGGCGTGACAGACGAGGCTGGGTCCGGAACATGGATGCTGCAAGGAGAGACAGCTCAGAGGGCATGCCTTAAAAGTTCCAGTGAACTAGCCAATCTACATTTAACTAACGGCAGGTCCTCATACCAGCCACACGTCAAGCACTCAACAGCCACATGTGGCTAACGGCTATCATTCATCGTGCACATCACAGAAACACTTTCATCGTCCCAGAAAGGGCCACTTCTCGGGAACAGGGGTCACGAATCGCAGTTGAAGGCTAAATCAAGTCTCCACTGTTTTCCTAAGGCCCACAAGCCAGGAACGGATGACAAGGAATCAGTAACACTGTATGACCTGTGTTACTTGTATGAAATTTCTGTGGCCACAGGTTTTACTGGATAGTCATATTTATTTATTTACAGACTGCCTGTGGCTGCTTTCACACTGCAAAAACAAAACTTAGGAACTGGTCCAAAACCTGTGTGGCCTGGGGCTGGAGAAGGCTCAGTGGTTAAGAGCACTTGCTGTTCTTAGAGAAGACACAGATTTGAATCTCAGCACTGACGTAATGGCTAACAGCCATCTGTAACTCAGTTCCAGGGGATCTGATGCCCTCTTCTGGCCTCCTCAGGTACTACACATATGAGGTACACAGATATACATGCAAGCCAAACATCCATATAAAAAAATAAAAGTAAATAAAATCTTAAAAAAAAAAAAAAAAACTATATGGCCTGCTAAACCTAAAATATTTTTTGGTCTGGACACCTGTGTAAGTTTGCCAATTCCTGGTCTAAGGATTAAAATATATCACTCTACACGGGCATACTTATTCAAATTTTCTAAAAAAGGATAATTTAAGACAACCAAGCAAACTTTTAAAAATAACAATAATCCAAAATAATTGTGCTGGTGATCTCGTACCTGATGTTAGGCATCTTCATGCTGGTGATCTCGTACCTGATATTAGGTATCTGTGTGCTGGTGATCTCACACCTGATATTAGGCATCTTCATGCTGGTGACCTCATACCTGACATTAGATATCCTCATGCTGGTGATCTCATACCTGACATTAGATATCCTCGTGCTGGTGATCTCATACCTGATATTGTATCTGCGTGCTGATGATCTTATATCTGACATTGGGTATCTGTGTGACGGCGATCTCATACCTGACGTTAGGTATCTGTGTGACAATGACTGCATACCTGATGTAAGGTGTCTGTGTAACGGTGACCTCATACCTGACATTGGGTATCTGCATGACAGTGACCTCATACCTGACATTGGGTATCTGTGTGACAGTGACCTCATACCTGACATTGGGTATCTGTGTGACAGTGACCTCATACCTGACATTGGGTATCTGTGTGACAGTGATCTCATACCTGATGTTAGGTATCTCCGAACAGTTTAAACGCCTAGGAGATGAGTACACAGGTTGTGTGGGAAGATCAGAAAGATCTAAGGCGTTAGCCTGGAGAGGAGCAGAGCATAAAGACGAAGGATGTGGCCGGTAGATGACGCTCGGGGAGGTCGTCTGCTCTAGGGTTCCTGGGTCACACACACCAAGGAGGTCCGGAGAAGTAGGTGAAGCAAGGTTCACTTCATGGAAGCCTTCCAAGGGGTCATCAGCCATAGCAAAGGCCTCATCCTAAGACCGTCTACGCTAAAGCCAAAAGAGTACAACTGTTTTTAGAGACTTAGTTCAAAACTAAATCAAAATACATGAGCTGTAAAATAATCCATATAAAGCATAAGCTTACAGTATGTAAGTGCACATATCTACAGTGAGCAGAGAAGACAACCCCTTCAAGCACTCAGGAAGACTGTGCTCCTGTGAAACATTTATTCACAGCCATTAATAACAAGTACGCAAAAAAAAAATACTTTATATAGTATTATTCAAAGATCTTATAAAGTTTATGCAAAAAAAGACACGTCTCCCTCAAGCTGTCCTCTTAAATGTAAAACATTTAAAAATTATAAAAAAAAATCTTGTAAACCATTCATTGATTTTTTTTTTTACCTACAGGGAAAAGTCCCCAAAGCTAAAGCTTAAAAAGCCCTGAACCCGCTCCTTTCCAGTCTGGTCCTTCCTCCAGAAGCAAGGGGACTATCGTGAGCATCCTTCCCAGACCTTCAAGTCAAGCAGCAGATGGACACATCACCTCTTCCAAAAACTACAGAAATACTCATCCACTTGCTAAACTGAAAACCTTAATTCTCACATATCACCAATAAAAAAAAAAATTAAAAGGCTGTAGAAAGTAGTCACATTAACATTCTCTCAAAACTACAGATTACTATGTGACCACTTATGAACAACCAAAATTTTATCAAATAAATCAATAAATGCCCAACTTCAAAGTAAGTAAATTTACTAATAACCAATTTATTAAGAGCACATGGTACCTTTGGTCCTCAAAGTTCAACTAATTTAACTCAAAATACTTACCGTGCCAAATGAAAGCTCGGACAGTACTTTCTAATTTACTTTTTTCATCTAAAAGAACCATTTTCATTTTTCACATAATTCACACCTATGCAGCCAGGGAAAGTCGATGCTAACCGAAAGTATACATTTCATTTTCATACAGTTTACTAATTAAGCCATGCTAAGGTAAAGAAAACACACAACTCTGAGATGTGTTTACACTAAACTGACATTCAGAAAACTTGGGCGATTATGTACAGAATCGTTAAACTCACTCACCGGTCACCTCTTCGCCCTCTCCTGCTCTTGCTGATGCTTTTCTTTTCCCAACCAGCCCCCTCCATCCCTGGGTGCTTATTCTACCTGGGCAAGTCTTATGCAGGTGGCCACAGCTGCCGTGTGCCCAGCACTACAGCAGCCACGCCACGTCCACAGAACAGCTTCTGGTGGCGTCCCTCCATCCTCTGGCTCTTTCAATCCTCCCACCTCTCTCGGGGATGTTCCCTGGGCCAGGCAGGGGCAGAGGCATCACTTAGGGCTGAGCACTCAGCAGTCACTTATCCTGAGCACCCTGGCCACTTCGGGTTCTCTGCGTTAACTATCGCCCTCTGCAAAAAGAAGTTTCTCTGACCTGCGCTGGGAGCACACCAGCCTACAATAGTAACACAAATATCTCGAAGGCAGTTAGGCTGCTGCGTGTCCACTAGTAAAACATCACATTCTGTGCCAAAGCCTGTGACGTCTCCAGCTGTAGGTCTACGACCAGGTTCACAATGTCAATCATGGAGCAGTTCTCAAAGCCAATCAGGAGGCGACTGTTAATTCCACCACATTCCTGTCACTGCTGCACAAGTGGGCACGTCTCGCTTTGCAGGTCAGGATTGCAGCATGCAGGATCCAAAGCTGGTTCAGACCACTGACGACCTTTCTCCCCCGGGAGACTTCACAGAACCTTCCGGCACTATGAACACTAGGCGGCAGGAGGAAGCACCCAGCTCAGTGCCAGCCTGCTGAGTGCCAGTCTTACATCCAGTTCATGGTATCTCCTTCAGCAAAGGGTTCTTACCATCTAGGTCTGGGGTTAGCCAAGGGCAACGGCAGGAGCCTGTATTTAAACTGACATTTTATCAGTAACTATGACCCTTCATTTTACCCCATGTATATCTAATTCAACATTGTATACCTTAAAGGCTCACTGAATTACAGAGTACAACAGCATCTTAATTTCTAGAAATGGAAAATGAGACAAATCTTCTGAAAGAAAATGTGGCAATACCTAGCAAAGTGACAGGTTCGTGCAGCATATGACCCAGCATGCTCTTAGGGATTCAGGCCAAGGATACACAGGCAAACTGGAAAACAAAAAAGATAAATACATCATTGGTAACAGCAGAGGACTGACTGTGTAAGGTGAGGCACAGCCTCGTAATGAAGTGTTACCTGTGTATGTAAAAGACGAACAGTATCCACACACACTGCTGCGAACCACCTTCAGGATATACTGGTAAGTTAAAGAACAGGGAAAACAGCTGTGTATGATACACTACTTTTTAAAATGTTTACCCAGCGCACGTGTGGAGGACAGGAGACAGTTCTGTCCTTCCACAGTGCCATGGAGGCCTGGAATCACAGAGATTGGTCACGTTTGTTCACCAGCCCATAAGCTACTTCTGAATCTAGGAAAGGAGAGTAAAAGCATGAACGTGTTTATCTGCGTATATAATATATGTAATTGCACATACATACATGCTGATTTTAGAACTGAAGGTTATATTAAAAACAGAACCAAAAAAATTCTCTATAGAAGGAGGGGGCACCACGCAGAGCAAAAAGTCACGAGGCCAGACTTCTCTCACTGTGTCATTGTAAGTCTGCATTTTAACTTGAAACCACATGAATATTAATTTTTTAAATCTTTGAAAGCAAAAACATCTAACAAAGAGATGGTAGCTTAACCACATACAAAAAAGGTACTTCATATAACTTTAAAACAATAATGTAAAGTAGATCCTAATGATGTTTTCTAAGGACAAATACAGTAGAAATATCATAAGCTATTTCCAGTGATCATATTAGCAGCAATATTGATGTTTTTATTCTGAAACAATTATGCATATAAAATCAAGTAAGTTATCTTAATGTCATTTGTGACCAAGATGCTTTGAGATATGACAAAAGTTTAATACAAATACAAAATCAAAAAAGCTAAATCTTAAGAGTCTTTAAATCAAAAATACCAGTTTTCCCCTCTTATGGTAAGACCCACTAGTCAGTTCAGGAACTACTATTGTGACTCACTGAAGACCCTGAAGCCCTGTTCTCTGTCAGTGTGTTCGTGGCTACTGTGATCCTTCTCTAGACCCACTGAACTTATATTAAGTTGATTTTTTTTTTGTTTGTTTGTTTTTGTTTTTCGAGACAGGGTTTCTCTGTGTAGCTTTGTGCCTTTTCCTGGAACTTACTTGGTAGCCCAGGCTGGCCTCGAACTCACAGAGATCCGCCTGGCTCTGCCTCCCAAGTGCTGGGATTAAAGGCGTGCGCCACCACTGCCCGGCCCATAAGTTGATTTTTTTAAAAATACTTTCCTCACGATCTAAGCCAGCTGTATGATATCCCAGAATGGAAGGGTGAATTCATTTTTCCTTTTATTTACCAGTTTTACAAATAATGAATTGATCCCGAGTGTCTTCTATGACAGTGTGCTAAATGCCACAGAAGACACAAAGGTCAGGGGCTAGATGCCCAGAATCCATGTAAGAAGTAGGATGTACTGGCGCATGCTTGTAACCCCAACACTGGTGGGGGGGGGGGGTGGACAAGAGGACTAGAGGACTCTGGGGCTCTCCCTAGGCAGCCAGGCTAGCCTACAGGACAAGTTCCAGATTAATGATGCCCCATCTCAAAAGACAAGGTGGACGGTGCCTGAGAAACATCCAAGATTGACTTCTGGCCTCTATAAATACACACATGTGTACCGACAGACAGACAGATATATACACACACACATACACACACACACACACACACACACACACACACACACACACACACACACATACACACACACACACACAATCACAATACAGGAAAAACAAAGAAAGCAAAGGCAAAGGAATGCAGAAATAATGAGTGAAATCTCCCCCCACCATGAAAAAACATAAGACATAGTTCTCGGTAGGGTGTTCAGGTGTCCAAAGGTATGGTATCAAAACACTCACAAATAAATACCAACAGCTAAAACATATAAGACACAAAGGGGCATAGGGGATTGGGCCTGATTCTGCTAAATTAAGGACAATCTGTGCATACCACTTCTCACATCTGGAATCTGTACCCTGATTTCTACCTTAGGGGCTGATACTGAGAAGCAGGTTAGCACATAACAGCAACCCTGAGGCGTGTGTCTGCCTACAATGTTTCTGTTTTCATGATACACTTCCAACACTGTTTAAAGTCAAATCCCCTAAGACTAATTTAGTCTCCAGGGACAGAGGGGACCTCTGGCTCTTGCAGAGGACCTGGGTCTGGTTTCCAGCACCCGCATGGTCCTTACGACTATCCATAACTCCTGACGGGGGACCTGGTGCCCCCTTGGGGCCTCTGGGGGCACTGCACGCATGTGGCTCACAGACCTGAATGCAGGCAGAACAGCTTGGCTGGTTTTAGACCCCCAAAGGCAAACGGTGATTTCCAATCCAGGAAAAAGTGATCAGAACAATGTGCTTCCGAATGCTAATGTACACTTTGTGTTACTGGTTCTTCTTCTGGAAGTCAGCATCCTCACAGCGGGAACTGCAGCCAACCTCTACGGAAGGTTAACCTTCACATGGGGATTTAAGAAACTCTCAACTGTTAACTGATTAGATGACGCCCAGCAAAAGCCAAACAACTTCCTACAAAAATGACATTTTTCTACGTAAAATCCATGCTTGAAATGAAAACTAAAGGATCCTTAAGACAGCTCAAATCATCAGGATGCATTATTGGTAAAGTGTTTTCCATGAAGTATCTTAGAAGTTGGGTATGGTCATACATATTTGTCATCCCAGCATTCTGGCTAAAGCTGGAGCATCTCCAGTTTGAGTCCAGCCTGAGCTACATAAGGAAACCCAGTCTCAAAAAAAAAAAAGCATCTGAAGACATGAATAAAATGTATATAAATAATTTAAATGACAGCTACGAACCTGATACATATTAATAGTCCAAATGAACAAAAACAACAAAAAAAGCATCTTCCCACTGTGTATTCCTGACTTGACTTCCCTTGACAAGTGAGAAACAGAAAAAGAATCACATTCCCAAACCAACTTGATACATCTAAAAATTAATTCGCCGGGCGGTGGTGGCACACGTCTTTAATCCCAGCACTGGGAGGCAGAGCCAGGCTGGCCTTGAACTCACAGAGGTGAGTTCAAGGCCAGCCTGGGCTACCAAGTGAGTTCCAGGAAAGGCGCAAAGCTACACAGAGAAACCCTGTCTCGAAAAACCAAAATAAATAAATAAATAAATAAAAATAAAAATTAATTTGATTCTCTATTTATAAAAAGTGTGGAGAACTACAGTGTAGAAATAAACAAGGATTATATGGTATCAGCGTAGAAACACTCTGATCTGATAAGGATCTCACTTTTCAAACATTTCTTCAAATTGTTATTACTGTGTATAAATATCTGTAGGCATGAGAATGTCACAGAGCCCATGTGGAGGGTCAGAGGTCAACCTGCAAGTTCGTGACCAATCCAATCTATATAAGGTCCAGGCTGACCCAGGCTATATGGTGAGACCCTGCCTCAAAACACCAAAAAGGATTATAAGTACTATTTCCTTCTTCTTTCAATTTATTCTTTACAGACTACTAAACGGTGCATGAAGGGCTGGGAGGATGGGCCATATGTGCCCCCAACTTTTTTTGTCTTCTCTTTTTTTAAACAGGATCTCACTAGGTAGCCCTGGCTGATCTAGAACTTTCTATGTAGACCAGGCTGGCCCCAAACTCAGAGTTTGCCTGCTTCTTGAATGCTGGAATTAAAGGAATGTGCCACCACCCCTGGCCAGATATTTTTTTTTTAATTCTCAGATGACTTTCAAATTTAGCGTGAATTTTTGAAGAACGGCTCCTGACATTAAACATCAGATTGCTACTTCAAGAGTATATCGTGAATTTTCGTGTTACAAATTCCACGTATTAGTTCACTTCCTTAAACACCTCCGTCGACTTCCAGTACATACAACAGAAGAACCGTCACCAGCTTCAGCTCTCTGGGGCACACCCTGGTGCCGACATCTAAGAAGACAGCAGTGGACAGACTAATCAATGACAGGTGGCCCATCAGAGCCGGGGATGACCCTGCAGGCACAGGGAATGAAGGAGAGTAAATTATAACATACATCTTAAATGCTAAGTAGGCGTCCAGGAGATTGACAAGGCAGGGAATAAGACAGGACGCTCAGGGAATAAGGGTCTGACACTAAGGAAACTAGCAAAGGAAAGAGTGACAGAAAATCAAGCAGGGAGGCAGCTGAGGGACACACCATTAAACGCTTCATTTAACAGGAAAATGGTGCTTGGCGTTTATCCTGAAGAGTCAGACCTTCATCTTGGGAAGTGTAGCCAAACTATAATGCAATCACTAGAAAAAAAGACTCCAAGGCGGGAATGGTTTTAACTGGAGGCAACAGGGTGAACGATTACCACAAAGGGCGACATACACTATAAAGGTCAGACCAATGCCCAGGTGATACCCCGGGGAGACCCAGAGCAGAAGTTAGTTTATTTTCATCTGCATATACACACCACCTAGCTGAGCATCACAGCATCCCTTCAAAATGGCCCCAATCCTTATTTCACAGAAACAGACTCAGAGACGGCAATTAGTCGAGGTCAAACAGCCAAGAAATAAGATGCAAGTCCTGATGTGTCTCATCCTACCACCCGACTACATCAAAGACGTAATTAAGACAAAACTGACCGGAAGACAGGAGCAGCAGACAGAGCCAGAAAGACGAGGGTTTCTAAGGCCAATCTCACCGCATCAACCCTAAGAGGTGATGAACATCCACGCAGGAAAATACTAACATCTGAACTCTTCCTACCCTCTAGTTCCTTCAACACAGCCTTGAAACCAACACCAGTTACCCCTCTGTGCCTTTTCTATTCTTGTCCTCCGGTTGGCTGCAATCATGTCCTCTTTTATTCAGTACTTTGAGATTTTTTTAAAACTTGTTAAAGTCTTTTAGAGAGCTCTGTGTGTGTGTATGTATGTGTGTAGGTGTGTGTGTGTGTGTGTGTGTGTGTGTGTGTCCCCGTCCCCATGCATGTGGGGACCAGAGGACAATAACTCTGGTGGTATTACTCAGGTACCATTTCACCCCGCTCTGCGCAAATGTCTCTCGCTGACCTGGAGCTCGTCAATTATGCGAGGCCAGCTGGCTGGCGGGCTCCAGAGGTCTGCCTATTATTTCAGGCTCTCTGACACTGGGATCCCCAGTGCAGCCACCAGACTAGACCTGTGGTGGTTTGAATGAGGAATGTCCCCCATAGGCTCTCGTAGACAACACTTGGTTCTCTGGTGTTTGGGGGACATGGTGCTTCATTGGTGGTAAGCTTTGGGAGCATACAGCCTAATCCTGCTTCCTGCATGCTCTCTCTGCTTCATGGCTGCTGTTAAAAATGGGCTCCCTCAGCTTCCTGCTCCGGCTGCCTGCTGCCATGCTGTCCCTGCCAACATGGATTCCTAACCTGCTGGAACTATAATCCAAAATAAACTCTCCCATAAGCTGCTTTGGTCACACTGTTTTATCACAGCAACGGAACAGTAACTAATACACAGAATTTCACATGGGTTCTGGACATCAAACTCGGGCAAGCACTGACTGACTGAGCCTTCGCCCCAACTCTCCATACAGGACTTTGAAAAGCACAACATGTAAATTAAAATAAACAGTAGCTTGATTTTACTAAAGTCACTGTATTCCTGTGTCTTATTCAGTTGTGAAAAATGAACGAAGTCTACCATTTGTGGTTAACATCCTCGAAACAGGTTAGGCACAGAAAAAAATAAAGATTTCCACTTTCAGTTAGTGTAGAAACTTAAAACATTGGTCTTTTTAACAACTCTCTCACAAGCTTCAAGCATTCTGCCAACTTCCATCTTGGTCTGCGGCTACTGAACTATGAACCATGCTATTGAACCATGCTGCCAATATTCAGATGTCAGTCTACGTACGACTCTATACAACTGAAGTGTATGTAACCACCTCTTTCCGCTGTAAGGTGAAAGAGAAAGCAGAAGGAGAAGACAGCGCAATCCAACCTGCCAAAAGCACCCCCACCTTCCTTAGCCCCCCCCCATTCTGAACACTTCAATGTCTACTGTGAGCACAATTCCAATGGCTTACCCAGTACAATCCCTCCCGAGTATCAAGCCCGAGGCTAAAGCTCTACATTGGGGTAAGATAAAGTAGAGAGAGCTGTCCAGGAGCTCACAGAACCGCCTCAACAAGCATGCATCCAGTTCACAAGAAAAGTACAAAAGCAGCGCAAATACCAAAATGAATAAATAACACAATAGAAATACGTATTCGACATTATAGAAGTGAGTGGGGACAGTGGAAGTACTTTTCCACCACTATGTAGTGAGGGATGGTTACAGCAGAAACATATCCAACACAGAAGCGTGGGGGTGGGGTGGGGTAGTTGACTGAGGACAGCATTACAGCGGAGGAGAAACAGAGTTTTCCAAAACCCTGACATTTGACTTTGAGGGGATCAAGTAGATACAGTAGCAAAATTGGTTGTCCTGCGGTTCAAACAGAATTATATACTGGCTGAAAGTTTAGTTTTACAATGTATCTTCCCAAACAATATTCTTAGAACTTTCTATCATTACCTTAACACACACCTACCTACTTCCACCCCAGCACCCAACACTAACTTTCTGTTTTGATACTCAACAAAATGTATACCTATATTTTCACATCCATGTATGCATACACATCCTTCTCAATGGTTGTTGTTGGGAGCTGTTGCTTTTATTGCATTCCTGGGGACTGAACTCAGTCTCACACAGGCTAAGCAAGCCCCTCTATCACGAAGCTGCACCCCAGCTTCCTCTCAGTTTTGAGGAACATATTTATATAATATATAGGAACATCACATGCATCACCTTAGACTCCTTATAGACTCCTTTACTCCCGCCCCCCACTGACTTGCAAAGCAGATACCCAATGACTATTTTATTAAAAACCTCTGGTGACATGAGAATTGCATATTACACTCATATAACTATCTCGTAAAAGCTAAATTAAAAACAATTTTTCAGCATTACGACCTACACATGAAGTGGCGGAGCAGTAATTAAGAACAGGCAATCCTTCAAGCATGAACTGACTCAGAGGAAGCGCTACCTAGACAAGGAGGCAATGGGTGTAGTAATGGTCCCGAGCCCTGCTCCTGAAGCTGCCTGCCTACTTCTCATCTACCCGTCACTTAATTAGCCATATGATCCCAGCGAAGCCACACAACCGCTCACGTCTCAATTTTCTCAACTAGAAAAGGCAAGGGGGTGTACATGACCTATCTCCTGGCTGGTGAGAAAATGAGCTGGCGTGAGCTTGATCGGGGCTTGGCACTCGAGAACCATGGACTTAGTAACAGTGGCGACAGCCATGTCACCATCAAAAGAACACCTGGGTAGTTTTTAATCAGACACAAAAATAACACCACCTTTCACCTGCACGCCCCTCCCCCTGCCCCTAAATGTTAAACTCTTTTTTCAGAAAGACCAGTAACAGAAGGAGCGACAGTGTAAAGCCCCACTTGGGGGTCCCCCTCAACAGTTTTTGGTTGTTTTTTTTTTAAATCCTGGCTTTGATATCAGCCAGTTATAAAGGAGAACTAAGTACTACAGGCAAGTCATTCTGACTCTCCGCACTTCGGTTTCCAGATTTGCAAAACCTGATAAAGCACCTATAACCTAAGAGTGTCCTCAGGACTAATGAGCCAAGGGTGGCCTCCAACAGCAGGCACAGTGCCCAGTCTCCGGTCAAGCTGATGTTAGCTCCTTCGTCCTTCCCCCACATCTCAATGGAATGTCTAATTAAACCCATAGCCCACCTTTATAAAGTTCATGCTGGGTTGAAACACGGAGAAGGGCCAAACACTGGCATTTTAATACGTTTCTACATAGTATGCTCAATACATGATTTACTCGAGGTCGCATGCTTGGTGAGATGGTACTGAGAGTTATGCCCTGTTCATCAGAGCTAAGGGAGCTGCTCAGTCCAGAGGAAAGGCCTATGTAACCCCTGCAACACATGCAAAACTACAAGCTTCTCTTGAGCCACAGCATAAAAATGAGGGATGGGCTAGTCCTAGGAACCTTTCCATTTAAAAAAGTATTTGTAGAGCACACATGTATGCAGCAGAGTAGGGACTTTAAGAAAATCTGACATATAGAATGTTTTTAAAAGTACAGAATTATACTGATTCAAAGGCACAGCTGGATTTAAACAGAGACATCGCTAATCAAAACTCCACAATGCAGGTGAACAGCAAACAGGCCGTGGGAGGTTCAGATGTATTCGAAATCACTGATGAGTGGCTTGTGAAGGGAGGAAGGAAGCGTTCCATCAAACACACTCCTTCACGAAAAGTATGCATTAATTCAAAACCTCGTTGGACTGGAAAGAGAAAAAAGTGTAAAGCTGTTTGTTCTTATAGTAGGAATTCATCACTGAGTAAATTTGTGTAATCGTTAAAGCCATTAGGGCCTGTAGGATTAGACCACACAAGCCAGATTCAGAATGCAGTGTCCATCCAAACACGAAAAGTCCGCTCAAAGCGCACAGCCCTAGTAAATAAATAACACAGGCTAACAGAACAAGGCCCCATAAAACTGGTGAACTATTTAACTGCATCAAATATTTACAGTGATGGACTGCCTATTCTGCTCCTCTTTTTCCTCGCGATTTGTCATTCATTGTTTAAAAACAAAAACTCAACAGTGTACCGAACAGAAACTGGGTCTTTCAAAAGATTTACAATAGAACAGTAATCCTCTCATCGGCCTCTCCTCAAATTATGCAATCATTCCACAGGAGGAAAAAAAAAAAGGATCACAGGACTGTTTCCTTGACTCGGGGGACACTGAGGAAGTGTACAAACAGGTAGGCTGGGTACAAGGCAACATTTCCTTGAAACTGAAGTGCCTCTGGGGCATCCGTTCTAACTCGGTGCTGAGTGCTCCTCCAGCCAGCCATTACGGATCGATGTTTTAACCTCCCAACAACTGGCAACTCTCGGCGTGCTGCAGCGTCCACCGGGCTCCATCCCTTCCCCAGCCTCCCAGCTGCTTTTCCGCGGGCGGTGGTGCGAGGGGCCCACGCAGGGGGCGCGAGGACGGGGAGCCGGTGTCCTTCCACTCCCGCGTCCGAAGTCAGGCCGGGCCCCCGCACATCCCCGGCCAACCGCGCCGCCGCGGCCGGGCGACTTAGCCAACTCCGTGACCCAGGCCGCAGGCCGGGCAGCCAGGTGAGCGCCGGGGACCGCTCGGCCCGCGGGAGTTAATGAGTAACGACGGAGCCGCCGCCCTCCCGGGTCCCGGGGCTCGGCAGGCGGCGGGCGACATCCGTGCCCTCCCCGCCGCCTCCTGCACCTGCTCCGGCCGCGCTCCGGGCCGGCGGGACGGGCGAGCGTGGCGCCGAAGGGGGGCGGTGCTCGCACCGCCCGAGCCTCTCCCTCCTGGCCGCCGCCGCACTCACCTGCCGGACCCGCCGCGGCCACCGCCCGCGCTCAGCGGCGCTCGCTCGCAGAGCCGCCAGGGAGCGCGTCCCCTGCCCAGCTCCGGAGACGCCGAGGACGGCGGCGGATCGACGGCGCTCCACTCCGCCGCGGCCGGGCGCACTGCGATGGGAGCCGGGGAGGGAGAGCCGACTGCGCCTGCGCCGAGAGAGCCGGGCGGGGAGCCGGGAGCGGCCGTCCCCCGGGAGAGAGAGGGCGGGGCCGGAGGCGGGGCTGGAGGAGCTGGAGGCGGGGCTGGAGGGGCCGGAGGCGGGGCCGGATGGGGGATGAAGGGCCCGCGCGCTGCGGCGCCCCCTGGTGCCAGGAGGGGCTCGGCGCAGGCTGCCCCTGTGCGGAGTCCTGGGTCACCTAAGGGCGGTTTCCCAGGGAACCACTCTGGCTGGGGCACCCCGGGGCTAACTTGGAGGGTGCCGAGCTCTCCTGGAATGGGAAGAGGCTTTGGGCTGTGTGAGTTGAGGACAAGTTCGGCGTCCGTGGATACCACCAGAAGCTGGACCCGGGAGTCGGGGGATGGGGGGCGGGGGGCGGGTTTGTAAAACCCAGATCCTTTCTAGCAGTTTCCAGAGAAGGTCGTTCCCGTGTCTGCCTTCTCTCATCTGTTACGGGAACTGTTTTTATTGTTTTGTTTTCACCAGACTTCCTCCCCACACTCGGTCTTTCAAGTTGGAGAAGCCCTTAAGGACAGACAGAATCAAGCTCTGAAAAACAGAAGCAGGGGGAGAAAGAAAAAAAAGCAGTCATTCCCCACTATCTCGGTTAGTATTTGGGATACTCAGAGAAAGGAGCTGTCCTTCTGTGTTGAGTACATCTAGGAGGCGGTAACAAAAAAGTAGATTCTGGGTGTGTGGCTCCTGTGATCAGCCACCTCTGTGACCTTGAGCACGATCAATCTTCTCGCTAATAAATGGATATAAGAATGCCCTACCTCGCTGAGGTTTTGAGAGTTTAAATGGTTTAATGTATGCGATCGGTGTACTGCTCGACAGAGCGTCTGGTGAGTGTAACCCTCCTGCAATCCAACAGAAGCCTAGAAAGTCATTAACTATTTAATAACTCATCTCCAATGTATTACCAATTCTTACCCATTCTTATTCCCAAAGAATCCTCAAGTTTATCTTGTGTCATTCATCACATAATGCCTTCATCATTCGCAGACTCCTAACTCCTCTCTTACGTTGTGTCGTCTATCCGTTTATTATGTTTTGTCTCTGCACCTGCTAGACAGAAAGTCACACACACACATACACACACACACACACACACACACACACACACACACACACACACAGAGAGAGAGAGAGAGTTCCTAACATCCAAAGACTCAAACCCAGGGAGACAAATTTGCCATTAACAGACGACTTCTTGGGCTCCATAGTTTCATATACCCATCTTTACAGTTTCTTTTTCCTAAAGTGATGTACACACACACACACACACACACACACACACACACACACACACACCTTTTATCCTGTGTAGTCTTTCATTACTTAACCCAGGCTTCAGTCTCTTTGTAAACCATTCCCTGATGCTCGCCTGACACCAAACCTTAACCCTCTTACGGGTTCACTGTCCTTACCTGTGATCCCATAGAAGTTTAACTCTTGCTAGCACATTCCACACTGTGTTACTGGAGTTTTCTCTCTTTTCTCTTTAGACTGCGTCTTGAGAACAAGCACATGGCCTGGTGCCTGAGAACTCTGTAAATGTAAGAGGAGCTGACACACGGGCTGAGTACACTATTTGGAGAATGAACATTGGAGGATGGGCTCTCTGATGTATTCAGAGTAAGACCCAAGACATCATGGGTCTACAGAAAAGAGTAATGACAATACGTTTGAATTCCACAGTGACCCACGTGCGTATCAGCAAGCAACCAGACTCTCTGCCGTCTTGGATAGCAAACTCTAGCTTGGTTTGAGAATGAACAGAGTGACTGTGGCCGTGTGAATCAGAATGGCCCCCATAGGATCATAGATTTGAAAGCTTGGTTCTTAGGGAGTAGTGCTATTTGACAGGGCTTGGGAGGGATGGCCTTGTTGGGGTGGCTGTGGCCTTGATGGAGGAAGTGTGTCACTGGGGATGGGCTTTGAGATTCCAAGAGCCCAACCCAGGCCCTGTGTCTCTCTCTTCCTGCTGCCTGTGAATCCAGATGTAGAACTCTGGGCTACCTCTCCAGCACCACGTCTGCCCGCACGCCACCAGGCTCCCTGCCATGACAGCAATGAACGAAACCTCTGAACCTGTAAGCTAGCCCTGTTTAAATGTTTTATTTATACTGTAAGAGTTGCCATGGTGATGGTGTCTCTTCACAGCAATAGAACACTGACTAAGACAGAAGTCGGTGGGGTACTGCTGTGACAGGCCTGACCATGTATCTTGGTGGAATGTGGACTTTGGGACTTTGGATTAGGAAAGCAGTTGAACGCTTTAAGCAGGGCTTAGTGGGCTGTCCTTTTAGGGGCATGGAAGACAGTGGTACTGAGAGCAATATAGTTTATAATGGCCTGACTCAAGACGTTTCAGAGGAGAAGACTATTAGTAAGTGGCCTAGAAATCCTTTTCTTGTGATATTTTGGTGGGAAATGTGGCTGTTTTCTGCCCCTGGCCAAAAAATTTTGCCTGAAGCTAAAATGAAGAGTTTTAGATTGGTGGCATTGGCAGAGGAGATTTCAAAACAGCCTAGTAGTGACTATGTTGTGTGGTTATTAATGGCCAGTCTTAGGCAGATCTATAGTGCAAAGGAGCAAGCTGGACAAGGAAAAGTACAAAATGTACAGTTTGAGGAGAAAAGGAGCACCAGAGAGTGTAACGGAGTCAAGTCCAGCGCTCAAGGAGATAAAACGTTTCAATAAAAGCCTTATCCTAAATGAAGTAAAGGGAGTGGTGACCTCGGTGCAAGACTCCACCCGGATAAGCTTCCAACTTGTGAAAAGGGATTAAAGAAAAGCTTAGGCTGAGCAGTGGTGGTGGTTCAGGCCTTTAATCACAGCACTCAAGAGGCAAAGGCAGACAGATCTCTAAGTTCAAGGACAGCCAAGCTTAAGCAGTGAGGGAAAATGTATTTGACTGTGGGGGCCATGTTCGAGTCCCAGCAAGCAAAAGAACTTGGCAGTTTTAACCACATGGTTCTGGCTTTAGAGTCAAGAATCCAAGAAAGAAATGTGTTCTGGAAACTCCTCTAATAGCTGGAAGCGGAGAGCATACACAGAGCTGTATCTGCAGTTTTTGTCAGAGCAAATATAGACAAGTCTGCATTTGAGGCCATTTCCCTGGTTTGAGAAAAAGGGATATGAGAAATTTGGAGGGTTGAAAGGCTTAACAAAGACCCTAGGCTCTAAACTGTATGATTTCCTTAAAAATAACCACTTTAAGAATCTCCATACATGCCGGGCGGTGGTGGCGCACGCCTTTGATCCCAGCACTCGGGAGGCAGAGGCAGGCAGATTCCTGTGAGTTCAAGGCCAGCCTGGTCTACAGAGCGAGATCCAGGACAGGCACCAAAGCTACACAGAGAAACCCTGTCTCGAAAACAACAACAACAACAAAAATCCATACATACAAAAAAATATGTTGGGAATTGGCCTCTGTCTCTCTGTCTGTCTTTCTGTCTCTCTGTCTCTCTCTGTCTCTCTCTGTCTCTCTCTGTCTCTCTCTCTGCTCTCTCTCTCTCTCTCTCTCTCTCTCTCTCTCTCTCTCTCTCTCTCTCTCTCAGCCATACATTAAGCAAATATGTTTTACTCTATTCCACAGTGGGAGGACTTCCTGATTTCACAGAATTCAGTTTCCTTACACCCTCAAAATACTTAAAATAATTCCCCAATTTTGTCTGATAAAGCTTTGGATGGGTTACTGCTACTGGACACCAGAAAATATTCTTTTTCTATTGTTTTACATTTTGTTTCTGTGGGTGCAGTGGTGCATGCTGTGACTTGTGTGGAGGTCAGAGGGCAACTCTCAGGAGTTGCTTCTCTTCTTGCACCACGTAGGTTCCAGGGACTGAATTCAGGTCATCAGGTTTCACGGCAAGCACCTTTACCTACTGAACCATCTTGCCGGCCCAGTACATTTTTTTATGAGCCAAGCAAAGTGGTGTATGCTTGTAATACCAGCACTCTCAAGCCTAAGGTAAGAAGATTATGAATTCAAGACCAGCCTGAGCTACACAGAAAATCCTGTGTCAAAGTGTGGGGAGGAGGTATTTTTTCTCTTGTAAGGAAAAGCTCAAGGTCACATAGATTAAACAAAATGAAATATGTACTCTTCACACACGCGCAGGCAGTACAAGGTTAGCATGGCAGATACCTGGTAGGCAGGAACTCCTGTCTTATGACATCATCCCCTAAACAAATAACTTCTACCTTATGATCCATGATAGGTGCTCAGGCTCCAACAATCACATCCCTTTCTTAGCTAGCAGAACAGGAAGTGGTGGGGGAAAAAAAAAGAAACAACCTTCTATTCAAGGCCATGTCTAAAGCCTATTGGCCAAGTATAGTCTTTACTGTGGCTCTAACGCTACACCAGAAAGAAAGAACCAGTATCAGAGGTAGCCATGGTTCTCTCACTCACCATCTGAGACAAGGCTTAGGACAGGGCAGTGGAGTTGTGATGGAACAAACATGGGCAAAGGTGCCGTAAGTGTGAGGACTCTCAGTGTGTTCCGAGATGGCAAGCAGTTAGAGGTGTTGGCACATAGAACAAGTTCGAGTTGGGAGGTAAGCCTTCAAAGATCCAAAAGAGCCATGGGCCTTCAAAAAAGATGACTGTAAAATAAAATGTGCTCCAGACAGGATCTTGTCTGAGGATCACGTCTCTCACAAATGTGGACAGGGCTTTTTTTTATTATCGCCCCTTAACAATAAGAAACATCTTCTTGTGTCCTTTATGTGGTGAACTTCCAGCTTGGGAAAAAAAACAGTTTTGAAAGTCACACACATTTACACCACTAAATTTTTAATTTTTATTTACGATACACATTCCATATAGCAAATCTCCAGAACAGAACGCCAGAGCACAGTGGTGGTCAGCTAGGAGACCATCCTGATCCTAATGGGGTAGGAGAAAGAGACCTCACAAGGGCTACTGATGCCAGCAGGAAATGCGAGCAGTTTGGAAAGGCCCAGTATCCGCAGTGGAAGAAGGGCAAAACGCTCCAGGACCCATCAAAGACAAGCTGTGGTGATCCTTGCATTCGTGGTCAGCCATTTTGCTGTTAGCACTCTGAGAAGGCCTTTTCCTTAGGTAAAAGCAGGAGTTATGGAGGAGTTATGGTTGTCAACGTTCTTCATGCCCATGCTCCCGACAGTTTCCAGTCAGGGCAAAGACAAAGCCATGTGTGCAGTCTGTGTTTATTTTAATGCAATCCGAATCCTAGATTGAGGGATCGTGCTAACAAGATGTTCCAAGGTCAAGGGCTTTGGGGAATTAAAGAACTCCCACAGGCCCAACCTATCCAACATGTAGGGGCCCAAGAGAATTTGCTTTCGTGCTGTGCTGTTCTGATGAAACAGCGGAATGAATACACTGAACTTGGAAACACAGAGGGAATGGGCTTTTGTTTCAGGAGGTGAAAATGGTAGGTTTAAACTGGGCATGAGGATTGAGCCCAGAGCTTAATGGAATTCTGAATTCTGAAGAGTTATCCTATTTCTGTAGAAATAAAGTTCAAATTTCGGAAGAGAGATGTTCCGACGAACATGAATCATACTTCAAGTTCCTGCAGCTGCTTTTGATACAAAAACCTCAAGATGTGTTTGAATCATCAAGTGCCTCTCCAACGTGCACAGTGTGGTTGCAAAAGGGATTTAATCTCATGAATCTGAAAAAGAGATTGACTATTCTGCCATAGATTTAGTTGGGATTTGAGAAGTGGCATGTGAATCACAGAATTGCCCTAAATTTTAGTCTGCATGGATTTCTTTCATAACAATACTAAAATCCAGGCAAAAGCAATCATGCTGTCAGTAACAAAAAGAACAAAAAGTCTAAATTCAGCTATCCATCACCCGAACACCGTTGAGACACCCCAAAACTTGTTCAGCTGGGTACATAACTGCATTGTCCTTAACACAGTCAAAATTAGTCAACAAGTTTCGGTTTTATGATAGTATTTTTCCAGGACCAGAAACACTCTGCTATCAACCCTGTATAAATAGCTCTTTCCAAATAAGTGGATCCTTGGGGTTACTTGGAATGGACATTGGTCCCAGTTTGCCACCAGCAATCCCAACTCAAGACCCTGGTGACCCAGAAGATTCTAGAATCTGACATTGACGAAAGGATGTGAGAAATGGTTAAATATTGTGAAATCCAGTATTTTATAATGAGTAAATAAGTAAATATAGGCATAACTGACCTATCTTTTGGGATCCTATAATTTTCAATGTATTATAGTTACTAGCCTCTAAGTAAGCTATGAGTCACCCCTTGATTTGATAGGTTATATTACCACATTTTTGTAAACATGGTAGACAAAACATTTTGAAAGACTTTTTACTTTATTCTAAAAATCCATAATTTTAGCCAGGCAATGGTGGCCCACGCCTTTAATCCCAGCACTCGGGAGGCAGAGGCAGGTGAATCTCTGTGAGTTCGAGGCCAGCCTGGTCTACAGAGTGACTTCCAGGATATCCAGAGCTGTTACACAAAGAAACCCTATTGTTGTTGGATGTTTTTACTTTTTTGGGGGGCCGTCACCCAGCTCCCAAATAAATCACATATGGAGGCTTTTATTCCTAATTATGAATGCCCAGTCTTAGCTTGGCTTAGTTTCTAGACAGCTTTCCTTAATTTAAATTATCCCATCTATGTTGACTCTGGGCTTTTCCCTTTCTCTTAGTTCTATAAATCCTACTCTTACTCTGTGGCTTACAGTGTAGCTGGGTAACTGGTCCCTGGAGTCCTCCTCCTTCTCTGATTACTTCTTCCCCATCTCCCACATTTCTCCTTCTATTTATTCTCTCTGCCTGCCAGCCCCACCTATCCTTTCTCCTGCCTCGCTATTGGCCGTTCTGATCTTTATTAGACCATCAGGTGCTTTAGATAGGCACAGTAACACAGCTTCACAGAGTTAAGCAAATGCAACATAAACAAAAGTAACACACCTTAAAATAATATTCTACTACACTCTGTCTCAAAAACCAATAATAATAATAATAATAATAATAATAATAATAATAAATTAAAAATCCATAATTTTGAATAGCTGACAAAATTAGGCTGCATGCATGTAGATTTCTAATTTTTCCTAAAATGTAGATATCACTATTCTGGAGAATTAAAGAGGAGTTCTGGTATGAAAATGACTGAATGCATTCCTGTTTCTCTATATTCAGAAACCATTTAAGAGCTAAGGGAGGGGGAGCCTAATTCCCATCCCTCAAGATCCAGAAACTTTTTTTTTAATCTTGCAAACTAGGACACCAGTATGTTGTCCAGCTTCCAATCCACAGATGAGTGTTGAAGAGAGCAGCTGAGATTCAACAAAATTTGTGTGGGAGAGAGGAGAGAGGAGAGAGAGAGAGAGAGAGAGAGAGAGAGAGAGAGAGAGAGAGAGAGAGAGAGAGAGAGATCAGCAGCAAGAAGACTCAGCTAACAATGCAAGGAAAAGTGTAACTCCTGGCCTGAGAGTTTGACTCCAGAGTGAAATGCCTGCTGATCCAAAAAGTAAAACTTTGAAGAACGGGAGTAGAAACCCTGAAGCCAAGCTAAGAACACCTTGAGGTACCGAAGCTCTGCCCTTCTTTAATCACCTGGGGCTGTAAGAGTGCCCACTCACACTGCACACTCCTGCAAACAGCAGGTGTAGGAATACTCCGTTGGTTATGATGAGACATGGAAAGGTGTGCCAATATATAAAGATACTTGAATGAAAAGTTGGGGGAAAGGAGTAAGTTCTGGTTTGAAGGTGCAGTCTCCCTCACAGACTCCCTTGGTTTCCAGGTATCGGTGAGGTCCAGAGAAAGCGTGGAACCTTTAGGAGGTGGGGCCTGGAGATATGGGTCGCTGCTCCTTGGCTGGGGAGGGTGGTACTGCTCTCTGCTTCCGGATTTGTCAAGATATAAACAAGCACCGCCAAAGACAGAGCCTCCAAGCCCACGCTACAGGCCGCATCCCTGCAAACTGGCAACAAAGTAAACCTCTTTCCTTCTGTGGCCTCTATTAGGTTGTGCAGGCACAGCCTCAAGACAAGAAACCGACACAAAGCAAAACAACAGATGAGGGAGACTTCAACCAGTAACATTTGTATGCGGCAGGATGATGAAATTTTTGAAATGTATCTTTCCTCGTATGGGGGGCCGGGGGTAGGGTGGGGTGGTGAAGCCATCATTCTATAAAAAGACCGTGAAGCAGAATGTGTGGAATCAAGGAAAACACGATCAGAGAGCAGGAGATGGTGAACGGTAGAGATCAACAGATTCAAGAGAGGAAGCAGTAGAAAAATATAAAACAAACAAAATTCACAGGAAAATAAATTAGAAGGGAACAGAAAAAAAAGAAACTTAAAATAGAACTAAAAGGATTAAATACACACAGTAAACAGACAAGTCTTTTGGTTTACTCTCCTAAATTGCTTATTGGGCACGGATTTGACAAACATCACTTACATTAGCTGGGACAGTAGAGCGAGAGAGAACCACACCTTGTCCAGGCTGCACACGGAGAGCCACCAATAGTGTGATAGAACTGTGGCCTTTCCCAAGCCCAAGCGCCTGCATCTGTCGGCCCATGCTTCTCCCGTGCTTGCGCAAGGGGTTGGTGATCCATGGGGTGTCAGGAGTCCTTCTGAGGGTTTTATGGACTGGATCGATGAGGATGGACCTTGGAGAATTTATATGGGGACTCTTCTCCAACGGTTAAGAATTCAAGACTCAGCGGGCATAGTGGTACATGCCTAGGTGGATCTCTGTGAGTTTGAGGCCAGCCTGGTCTACAGAGTGAGTTCCAGGACAGCTAGGGCTACACAGAAAAAACTGTCTCAAAAAACATAAATAAATAAATAAATAAATAAATAGATAGATAGATAATAAATAAATAAATAAATAAATAAGAAAGAATTCAAGGCCCTCAAAGCCCTACAGCGACCTCCAGCTCTCCCTTCAGCAACACACGGAAGGCTTCACCAGGCTGTTGCTGGTTAACACCATGGTGAACAGGCTTTCCATAAGTTGGTTGCATCTGTAGGAACTTGAGGCCACCAGAGAAGACAGGTATCCTAATCTTGCTTGGCTTTGTATCTCAGCCTGCACACTCTATCCAGCCTGGTGGGGCAGGAAGCCCTGCAGAAATCGGCAGTACAGCCAGCAGTGGACCCTCAGAAGAAAGCCAGAAAGCCACTGGGGGTTGGGGGTGGGGGGTGGGGGGGGCCACACTCCTGCTTCCTCAATTGCTCCCGGATGTATTGTATGCACTCACCTCAGCCTACCTGATGGCTGATGCCAACCAAGCAGGAAGACGTCTTTTCAAAGAAGTCTTTGTATGAAACTTCTAATTGATGTCCAAAAGAAAGAGATCCAAACTAATGAAACAAACAAAGAAATAAATATATAATTTGGAAAAAAAAAAAACCTCTCTTCATTGACAATTGTGCTACAGGTGAAAGATCTTTTATCCACCGAAGCTCCTGACGACAGAGAAAATCCTCTGGAGAGATTTCTCAACAATCAAGTCGCTTTTCAAGGGGGAACTGTCAGGCTGGCTTTAGGTTTCTGCATAGGAATACTCCTTCCTAGAAGGCATCGGAGCAATGTAATATGTGCGAGAAGAAAGTGGGCACACCAGACAGGAAGTCTTGCCAAACTGTCTTCCAAGTAGAAAGACTACACAGGCAAAGAATTTTAACTACACATTCATCCAGACAGCATTGCTTCTGTTAGCCCTTTAAAAGAAAGAAAGAAAGAAAAACTACTGAAAGATTAACTTTGGGCAACAAAAGATAATTACACCCCAGTGGTGGTGAAGCATCCGTGACAGACATGTTCACCAGCAAGAGGCAAAGCACGAGAGCAGATGCCTTTTCCTCCATCTGCTCCAGGATACAGGGCTGTGTGGGGCGGGTCGCTTGACAGGCGTTTGACCCCTTCAGATGGGATGAAGCCAGCATGTGGTAACTCAGCAAGCAAGAACCACAGGACCAGCCCGGCTTTAATCCCAGCACTCAGGAGGCAGAGGCAGGCGGATCTCCGTGAGTTGGAGGCCAGCCTGGGCTACAGAGTGAGTTCCAGGAAAGACGCAAAGCTACACAGAGAAACCCTGTCTCGAAAAAACAAAAACAAACAAACAAACAAAAACCCACAGGACCACACCCAGCCCCACTTTTAGCCCTTGTTCCCATCTCTACCAGTGACTCAGAAGTTGAGTGATACTTAGTAAATGTCCTTTGTTCGCTGTGAGAAGTCACAGGTATCAAACAGCCCATATGATTAGTCGGGGTACAAGATCACCACACTACTACCATCAGAGCCCATATGCAGCCCTGTCTGAGGATGCACCCTCCCATCCCAAGATGGGGTGTCTCTGGATCTTTGAGGGTTCTCAAAGGTGGCGGTGGGGCTCAACGAACTGTTTTCACCATTTCAGAGAGTATAGCACATGGAAATAGTTTTACCTCTTTATAAGAGTATACGGTAGCCGGGCGGTGGTGGCGCACGCCTTTAATCCCAGCACTCGGGAGGCAGAGCCAGGCGGATCTCTGTGAGTTCGAGGCCAGCCTGGGCTACCAAGTGAGTCCCAGGAAAGGCGCAAAGCTACACAGAGAAACCCTGTCTCGAAAAACCAAAAAAAAAAAAAAAGAGTATACGAACTGAAGTACGTGTTCCAGCCTTGAGCTGGTGTAGCACGAACTCGTGGATCAGAAGTGTGAGAGGTGGTGTGAATCATCTTGACTATCAACTTGAGGGGGACCTGGTGTCAACTAAGAGGCATGCCTCTGGGCAGGTCTGTGAGGGCATTCCCAGAAAGGATGGGCTGAGGGAAGATGACCTGTGCACAGAGTGGACAACAGGAGAGGCAGAGGAAAAGGTGGTACTGCCTGGCTGCCTCTCTTCTTGCGGGTGGGTGTATCTGCTGCTGCTGCTGCTGCTGCTGCTGTACCCCCTCCACCATCTTCTGCCAGTCTCACCCTTCAGGCTTTTTCCAGCATGAAGTGAAGATCACCCACTCTCCAGGAATCCTCTCGGCCTTCAGCACCAAACTGGAAAAGCTGAGGCTTCCAGTTTCATAGACTGTGAAGCTACAAGATTCTCAGACTCCAGTGTAGAGATGACCAATGCTTACCATTATGTAAGCCAGTCTAATGAATCCTCTTTTGTAACACACACACACACACACACACACACGCCGAGTCGGTTCTATTCCTCTAGAAAACCATGCAAAATAAAGGGGGTGGTTTATAAAGCTTTGATAAATCCAAGAGCATCATTTTTTTTTATTTACTTATTTATATATGTGCATGGTCTATGCCGGTGTGTGCACATGTGGGTGGTGACCTTGCCCATGTTTGTTCTTGTGGAGACCAGAGGGAGAGGTCAGGTGCCTTTTAGCCTTCTACCATACTGTCTCTCACCAAACCTGAAGCTCACCGTTCAAGCCAGACTGCCTGTCCAGCAAGCCCCTGGGATCTACCCCACCCCTCCACACTGGGGCTATAGACACACACCGAACGCTGGGGATCTGAACCCAGGTCCTCGCTCTTGCACAGCAAAACCTTTACTGACTAAACCATCTCCTCCATCCCAGCATGTTAACGATACAAATAGCCCCAAATACAGACTCGAAGAATATCAAAGTTTTGAGTCTTTTAGATTTTAAGCCCAGCGTAGTGGTGTACTCCTTTAATCCCAGCACTCAGGAGGCAGAGACAAGTGGATCTCTAAGAGTTTGAGGTCAGCCTGGGCTACATAGTGAGTTCCAGGACAGCCAGAGCTATGTAGAGAGACCCTGTATCAAAAAACAAACAAACGGGCCGGGCGGTGGTGGCACACGCCTTTAATCCCAGCACTCGGGAGGCAGAGGCAGGTGGATCTCTGTGAGTTCGAGGCCAGCCTGGGCTACCAAGTGAGTTCCAGGACAGGCGCAAAGCTACACAGAGAAACCCTGTCTTGAAAAACCAAAAAAAAAAAAAAAAACAAAACAAAACAAAACAAAACAAAAAAAAAGGGATAATAATGAATTTTAGACGGTCACTGAGTCTAGGAGGTAAGGTTTATAATCAGTGAAAAATAGGGGTAGGGGTATGGATCAGTGGTATATGATTTCGTAAGTTTATTATCTGTTAAATTGTTCTACCATTAAAAAGCCATAAAATAGATTCCCCAATATTAGAAGTTTTGGTGCCTGTCCTGGATCTCGCTCTGTAGACCAGGTTGGCCTTGAACTCACAGAGATCTGCCTGGCTCTGCCTCCCGAGGGCTGGGATTAAAAGGCGTGCAGCACCACTGCCCGGCTCTTTTTAAGATTTCCAAAACATTCTCTGACTCACCTCACTCAA